CATCATTGATGTTTCTATCTATTACCTCTCCTTCCCTAAAATCAGTAAAAATATTTTTTGGGGGGGAAAAAAAGACTTCCAGGCAGAGTGACGGCGGCCTGGATACAGAAGGGCAAAGCTAGGACAGTGTCACCACAGATTAACGCTGTAGTGATCACACACAGTCTGCTCCTTTCCCTGTGGGGCCAAGAGGTGGCGTGCAGTGGGCCTGGCTCGCACCCCCTGGTGGTGGTGGAGGTACTGGGAACCATGTGTCATCGGAATTCAGACAGCAGGAGGTGACCTAGTCAAGCCAGCCCCTCCTGGTCCTGGCCTCGCTGTAAACCTCTGAGGTCCCAGGATGACACCTGCAGGCTGGGCCCCCAGCAGAGCTTGTCCAAGGGCACTCCTGGAGCAGGGCCATGTGGGGCCATGAGATCATGATAGGACCTGGCCCGAGTGCAGCCCGGCTGCCAACATGACACCCGGGGCCAGCTGGGCCGAGTGGGCAGCACTGCAAGTCTCTGGGGTTCGTGAACAAGCTGTTCCCATGGGGCATGTAATCAGGGCCCCAGGCACGGCCATGTACACTACTCAAATCAAAGGCACGGAAAAGGCTAAGATCCCAACAGGCTTGGGCTTGAGGGGAGGGACAAAGGGGAGGCAGGCTGGGAGGAGAGCTCAACTGCTACCACAGTCAGGGACACCACCAAGAAGGTTACTAACGGTAAGTGACTGAATCTGACTTGGAAGGAGTTAGCTAAAAGTCTCCCAAACTGCATCTCCCCCACTTCCCCCTTACACCTGCATGCCAGCCGCAAATGGAGAAACTGAGGACCTTGCCCCAACCACCCAGCCAACATAAAGGAGCTTAGCTCAGGTTTGCTGGCCCCAACTGCTTTCCATGGGGTTGATGACCTGAGGGTAGTGATAGGTGGATACATCCATCCCAGCAGCAAGCAGGGCCGGAGGCCTCATCAGTGAGGATGTAGCAGGACTCCAGGGGTCCCCAGAGTTTGGCCTGGGAGCCGTAGACACTGGGGTGGCACTAAGAAGCTTAGGACGGTGTGGTTCTGCCTGGAGCCAACCTTCCACCAGGATTCCCGGGGAGGGCCAGGACAGTGTGGAGCGCACGGCCCTTATCTAGTCTGTCTGGTCTCCACCTGTGCTGCTGGTGCTTAGAAGATAAAGCTCCCCCGGGCCACCATCAGAGAGATGGTGAACTTACACCAGGCCACCCATTGGGCCCAATCCTGGTCAATAGGGCAGCCTTGTGCTGGAGCCTGGGGCTTCCGGGCCCACTCCGTCACTTCGGGGCGCCGAAGCACTGCCTAGCCAGGTTTAGAATGTCAGCGAGGGGTCCTAGATCAGCGGGTATCCTAGAGGGCCTGTTCCCAGCCCTGCTGCAGAGGGATCTCTGCGGGCCCAGGAAGAGGCCGGTGCCTCTGCTTTGATGCCGGATGACACCTGCCTCCCACCTACCCTGTCTGTCTGGCGCCTGCAGGACCATCTATGCCTAGGAGGAGAAGCTGGAAGTGGGGAGGGGTCCACCAGATGAGGCCAGAGCCAGGAAGGGGAGGTGGGGAGCTGCTTCCTCCTCTTTACCCCACTGAGGCCTGCCAGGCCCTACCGTTCACTTCCGCTCTTCACACCTGGTGGCCCCCAGTAGCTAAAGTCCCTGCCCTGGCCCTGCAGGGAGGAGTCTAGCCCCATGGGAAACACTTGGGATGAAACAAAGGATGAAAACATTGTAAATGGATACAGGGCAGTGTTTGGCTGCTCCCCAGGATGAGCTACCTGGAGAGTTTCTCCAGGGTCAGGATTGGGGGCAGGGGGCCTGGGCAAACCCCAAAGAGTGTGCTGGAGGGGGCCACAGTGGGACATGTGAAGCCAGTGCCAGTGTCAAGGCATGCCTGAGTGCATCTCTCCCATTGGGGGGATGCTCACGCCCAACCCTGAAGTACCTGGCCACAAAGCTCCCCTCTCTCCCGCAAAGTGGTCAGTTCTGAAGTGCAGAGAGCAAGGCTCTGACCCTTCCCTGAAAGAAGACTGATTGACAGGCCCTGGTTCCTCCAACTGTCCCATGTGCACAGCCTGGGCCCTCAGCTCAGGCCTGCTCCAGCTTGTCCCCACTAAAGAAAGAATACCTGGCCCTAGCTGGTGTCACTCAGTGTCTAGGATCAGTCTGCACAACGAAGGGTCTCAGGTTCAATTTATGGCACATATCTGGGTTGCAGCTTCAATCCCCAGCCCCGGTCAGGGTGCATGCGGGAGGCAATGTGTCTCTCTCCCTCCCACCCCCACCCCACCCCACTTCTCACTCTCTCTAAAAATTAATGGGAAAATATCCTCAGGTGAGGATTAACAAAAGAAGGGAAAAAGGGAGTACCTGTCTTTGCTCCCAGGTGCCCCAGGACCTGCCCCTCCACCTGCTGGCATTTCAGAGATGCAGAGTTGAAGGGCCCTTATATTTTAACTGTGAGGGCATCTCACAAAGCAGGCAATTGATTATGGATCATTCCATAAAATCAACCAGCACATGAGTCTTTCCCAACACAGGTGTACTTTGGCCTGCCTCTGGCCTTGGGTCCCACATGCCTGTCACACCAATGAAGGTTCCTGTGTCTCCATCCTGCTAAATCTCTGCTCACAGGGCATCTGGCCATGTGTTCACTGCTGTGTCTCAAAGCCGAGGACAGTGAGGGTACAAGTAGATTTGCACAGGAATGATTGAATTAATGATCTTTCTGCTTGACCCTTCCTACCCCTTCTCTAGGTGGGTTCACACCTCCCTCTTCTTTCTCCCTTCATAGGATCTATCTTCTGTACCTTTTTAAATACATATTTTTATTTCAGAGAGGGAGGAGAAATAGAAACATCAATGATGAGACTCACTGATTGGCTGTCTTCTGTACCCCCTATTGGGGATCAAGCTTACAACCTGGACATGTGCCCTGGCTGGGAATCGAACCCTGACCTCCTGGTTCATAGGTCGACGCTCAACCACTGAGCCACACTGGCCGGGTTATCTTCTACATCTTTAGAGTTGTGAGGGTACTGGCTGGGATGGTACTGGTCAAGGTCTGGGTAGTCAAAGATCACTTATCTTCTACTCTCTATTTATTTAAAATTTACATCTGTGTGCCTCAGAATATTTAAGATGATCACAAGTTGACTCTACAGATGTGTCCTTCATCTTGCTGCTTTGGTCCTCCTGCAACCCACTACACATCGAACCCATTCTTTCCAGCTCCCTGCTGGGACAGTATACACCTCGACAGACTAGAAGACTCCTCCCAAGACCTTCTTCTGGTGGCAGGCCTTGGTTCCTTACTGGGGAGGGCTAGGATCCTCCTGCTCTCTCCTTACCCCCTGTATGGCCTGGCTCTTCTGAAATCTGCAGCGAGCAGGCAGGAACATGGGCTACCTGATCGCTGGCTCAACACCAACTTCCTTTTATTGAGAGGTTACAGGGTTGTGGACACAACCAGTCTTGACACAACCACCCCCAGGCCACCACCCCCGATCTGCCCCGCAAACAGACTCAGGGAAGGGAAGCAGTGGGAGTCAGCCCTTGACTCAGTCCTCTCAGCCACACATGGTCAGAAGCCTCGTCACCTTAGTGCAGAAAAGGAAGCTGGAGGTGGGCTGAGTCACTATGGCCCAGTGCTGCAGGCAGCTGGTTACCTTGGGGCCTTCAGGAAGCAGCGTCTTGGTTGCAGCTGAAGCCCAAGTCTCTACATTGGGACCCTGCGGCATCTGGAGGGTAAGACGGAAGCTTCCCTGGGGCTGGAATGTTCTCCCAGAGCAGACCCCTGTCCCTGTAGGTCATCCTGAGGTCAGCTTAGCCTTTATGGGCGCTGGAGCAAACATTACCCAAACTCCTATTTGTCAAACTCCACTCCATCTTGAGGCAGAATTGAACCACAACCAAACACTCACTGAATCTTAGCTGATGGGCTTTGCTTCTGTATCTCCTTCTGCATGGCCAGTGCCTTCCCATGAACCCCAAGTGTCCCTGAGTGCTAGAGTCCTTGGGGCTCTGCATCTCCTCTTCCCACTGCAGCCTCTCAAGTTGCGTCTGGTGAACTGGTGACTCAGTTTTCCTGCAAGTCCTGCTGCCTCCAGGGCATGTAGGCAACAGAGGGCAGAGGGCTCCAATTTGGTGGCAGCAGGATGAGTGACCTCAGGGGTGTACAAAAGGAACTTTAACGGAGACTGAGCCTGAGGAGGCTCTCTTGTGCAGGGGGCGGGTTCCGTTCAGAGGCCTCTAAGGAGTAACACCAGCTTCCCTGGTGTCAGGACTTCCTTCCGGCTAGGCCCTGGGCTACCTGTTCTGGGGTGGTATCTCATTTCGTCCTCCCACTGGCCCATTTAGTTATTAATTTCCCTCTATTAACGAGGAAGAAACTGAGGCTCAGAGAACTTGCCCCGAAGTGATTTCTCTGCCACACATGGTCACACTCTAAGTGCCAAGGCCGTGTCTTAGAATCGGGTCAGTCCCACTGAAACTGAAGCTTTTGACGTGAAGCCCTTGGGAGGAACCGAGAAACGGAGAAGTTGCACAGATGGCTCGAAGCAGCTGACGGGTGAGGTAGGGACTGAAGAGGCCCTGGAGAAAAATAAGGTATACGGGCCCCGTGGGCTCGTAGGGCCAGAGCGGAGCTGGCTGCTGGTACGGAGAGCCCGGCAGTCGCAGGCGGAAGCGCTTAGGCTGAGGCGGATACTGAGGCCCTGTCTCTTCCTCCAGCGCAGGGCATCCTGGGAACTGTAGTCCCAGTCCCATACTCAGCTCACCTCCTTGCTACTCAACTCGGCAGTGCTCCCTGATACCCGGGGTTCAGCCATCTCCAGTGGCGGTAGTGGGTGGGGAGGCCGAGAAAGTCGGATAGCGCCTAGAGGGCGCTAGTTGGGGCCGCTGAGGCCGCCACCCCCAGGACTACAACTCCCGGATTGCCTCGCGCCCCCAGCACCGCCCCGAGCTTTCTGCCGGGCGGCGCCGCGCTGCCCTGTGGGAACTGTAGTCCCGGCGCGCGATTCACAGCGCCGCGTGCGCCCGGGGCGCGCCGTAGCCGCGGGGCCCGGGCCCGGCGCTACGCTACGGAGGCGGCGTAGGATAGGCTCCGGACGCGGGCCGTGTCCAGCAGGGTCTGGGCGTTTGGCGGCTTGTCCACTCAGCGCGGCGGGCCGGCGGGGCAGGGCGGCCAGTGGCAGAAGTTGTAAGTCAGTCGGCTGGGGCGAGCGGGCCGGGGGCCCTTTCCCCCAGGCCGCACGGACGGAGGAGGCGCCGCCGCCGGGTTGCAGAGGTGAGTCCAGCCAGCCGGGCCGGGGGCGCGGCCTGGACCCTCGCCGGAGCCCGAGCCTGGTGGGCTGCGCTTCTCAGCGCCAGGACTGCCGGCCTCACAGCGAAGGTCAACCTGCTGCTTCGCTGGCGCCTCCTGGGCATTAGACAGAGCCCAGGCAGGGATGGGTTCATTGCTTGGAGAGGGGAGACGAGGGCCTGGTCATCTTAGTCACTGGGAAACCAGCCCCAGGATGCTGCGGACACAGACGGCGGCCTCAGCTCCTGCCTGCCCTTGAGTGCCCTTATCTTCCAGGCAACGTCCTGGTTTGGTTGCATTAGGGGATGTGCCCCGTAGTGCCCGAAGCCCTCCCCGCTCAAGGACTCTGGACACTGCCTGGGGGTCGCCCCATGGAATGGGGGGCCCCTGCGCAGGCGCGTCCTGTGTGCCCACTGACCACCCCACGCTTCCTCTTCTCTGTTCCCCTTCTGGGCTGGCGCTGGAGCTGCACGAGGAAGTTACAGAGGATAATCTCTGCGAATGTTTGCCGGGTGGAGCCGGTTCTTCCTGTTGGCCACAAAGGGACCCTTCTGGCCCTGAGGAGGGAACCCCTGTTGTGTGGTCGCGTAGCCCTGACTGGATGGCTTTCAGGGACCAGACTGCAGGCAACAGGAATTCCAGGAAACCAGGCCAGGGAGCTGCAACTTGGGGGAAATGGCTCAGCTTGGTGCTGAATTGGGTCTGAGCTCGTCCCAGGAACTCCTCCTTTGGGGATCCCTTTGCCCAGATCTGGATTGCTGTGTCAGTCAGGTGTGGAGAGTGATTATCTCCAGCCCCCAGACGCTGGGCAGCCGGTGGGGTAATTCCATCCTTCCTCTCTAAGTGACTTTCTCAACTGTGAAGTGAGAGATAGTGTTTCCTGGTCCAAGTCGCAGGAGAGCCTCAGGGACGGGGGAGCCTGGATCTCAGCTCTGTGGCCTGGCTGGTGGCGTTGCAGGAAGAGGGCATTGCAGGAAGGCAGTGCAGCCTGGCCTTGGGGATGGGCACATCTTACTTCCTCCCAGGTTGGTCTGCTCCCAGGACGAGCACTCCTTCCCTTCTGCACCTGAAAACCCTGGAGCTGCTTTTCCTAAGCAGACAGACCCATGACCTCATGACCTTCTGACAAACAGATTTAAGTTCTGCTGGGCCCAAGGCTTAGTGTCTCTATCTGATCTTGTGTCTGTTTTGAGCCCCCCAGACCTGAGCTCTGAGAGCAGGAAGTGACTATACCCCCTAATCCTGCATCTGCATAGAACCCTTTCTATCCCAGTCATCCTGGAAACTCTGGGTTTCTCTGCCCTTCTTCACCAGAGAGGCCAGACGTGGCTGGCTTGACAGTGGTAACATTTACTGAAGCTCCTTTGCACTCCTCTGCACCAAGCTCTCCGGCCCCTGTCTCATAGGCAGCACTCTTGTGAGCCCCATTTTACTGAGGAGCGGCCCTAAAAATGCCCCCAAACCCAGATGTCATTCATGAGTCCCAGCTGATCAGTGAAGAGCCTGACAGGACCAACTACCCCCAATCATGGCGTTTTGGAGGGAGCAGCCTCTGGTTTGGCCCTCTGCGTGCTGCTCGCACCCCAGGCACAGAGGGTGCTGGCGAGGCAGGTGGCGTGAGTCAGTGGAAATGGTTTGGGTTGGCGGGGTGGGTTTTCTGGGTTTGACGGTGTCTTCATCTGACATTAAAAGTTCACACCCAGATCCTGAGCAAGGGCACCCCGTGCCCCCAGGACTCTGCGGGGGCTCTTGGCACAGCCAGCTTCTCTTCACACTCTGTGTTGCCTGGACTGCCCGGCATGTCCTCACTCACTACCTGTTCCTCTGGTTCCATCTGTGCCCATTGTTCAGCATCAGCACTCATGGGACTGACTCACAGCCTTAATACAGTATAATCTCATTTCTCTGAATCTCTTCCGCCAAACCTCTCAGAACAGATAGCTTCTCTCTCTTTCCCCCTCCCCACTCCGCTGGGCTCTGACGCCGCACCTGGCTGCCCAGCATGGTCCCACTCACTAGATCACATGTGTCAAACACAAGGCCCGCGGGCCAAATCCGTCCCGCGGGCCAAATCCGTCCCGCCAGGCCTTGCAATGTGGCCCGCACCGCGCTGTCATCACTGCACTCCGCTGTGTTTCCATCACAATGACAGTTTATGACTGTTCAGTAAACCATTCGGCCCGCGATTTAGGCTGGATTTTAGATTTTGGCCCCTTCTCTGATTGAGTTCGACACCCCTACACTAGATGGTCAGTGCGTGTCCTCTGTGGCCACCCTGCCCTGAGGTCCAAAGGGAACTCCTAGGGCGTCTGGGATGGCACCCCAAGGCTTCTTTGGAGATGAGTAGACTCCCTGGCCTCTACCCTCTTTGAATGAACTGCAAGGAGGCTGTGGATTGAGGCTGGGCTGCCTCCACTTCTCAGGCTTGGGGACCTGCCCAGCCTCCCCTCATCATGTCACTGTGGGTCATGGCAGCAGGACTGTGTGAAAAACAATTTCCTTTTTGTGATGCACAACTGAGGTGGTGGTGTGCGGAGGGGTCTGAGCGGGGACTCTGCGGATGGCTGCGTTGGTGTCACCAGGCCAAGGCCTGTTGCCAGGCTGCAGAGAGCGGGGGCTGTGGAGGACAGAGGTGTCCTAGCCCAGCACAGAGGCCCCAGGATGGGCAGTGTGAGGCCTCCCGATGCCATAGGAGGGGCCACTGTAGAGGTCAGTGACTTCCTGTCCCTCTGCGAGGACGTGAGTGTGCGCTTCCCGTCCTGCAGACACTGGCACCCTCCAGCGGGGCTCCGGGCCCTGCTCCTTGGCTTTTCCGAAGTCTGGGTTGCTTACAAGGCTGCATCCACCTCCCGGTGGCTGGGCTGGGGGCTGTGCCCGGGCGGTGCTCCAGGTATCAGGAGGAAAGCAGGTCCGGAGCTGCTACTCGGAACTGTCACGTGTGTCTGCGTCTAGAGGAAGGCAGCCATTGCGGCTCGCTGCTCCTCCTGTGTCATCACAGCCCCACCTGAAGCTCCTGCTCGGCCAGCCCCTCCTCACAGCCACATCTCTCAGAAAAGCTGTGCTTTGGCGCTAAGATCACCGGGCAGGTAAAGTCTCAAGGACCTTCTGCCCCTGCCTGACGCTGCGCTCCTGCCACATCGCAGGGACGGCGGCAGGCCTGGAGGGGGCTGCCGAGAGCCCCATCCGCCCGCCTCCGGGGAGAGCTGAAGGCTGGAGTGCTCCGTGCAGCGGTGTGGGCTGGTGGGTGCCAGCAGGGCCGCCTGGACCAGGGCTGCTCCTGCCACCTGGCAAACAAATGACAGGACTGCCAGAAAGCAAGAGTGCTTGTCTGGCACCTTCTCTTTTCCCATTAAAAACAGTATTCGACTTGGACCAGTATCGAACTTGTAACCAGAAATTAAAATCCTGCGCGTGTCTGGTTTCTCTGATAGAGCCGTATGAAAACAGTTTCCTTTTTTATGGTGCACCACTGAGGCCGTGTACGGCTCCAGAGGCAGCAGAGGCACAGGGGCCCCGCTGTCCCGACAGGCTGCCCTCAGCCTCCTCACTGAGCCTCTGACTGGGAGGGCCTGTCTCCTCCGCCCCAGAAGGCAGGTGCCTCAGGAAGCAGAGCGGGTCTGCCTGCCCCTGGTCCTCAGTGAGCAGCGTCTCCGCGGTGCTCAGGGTGGGCCGGCCGAGGAAACGGGGAGGGGCACGGGGCAAGGAGCCCTGACTTCTGTCCGAGAGCCGGTGGCCTGGACCTTCAGGGACTAAAGAGCTTGGGGAAGAGGGACTGCCTTTTAGCATGGCTGATGGGCAGGTATTTGGGGCAGGAAGTGGTAGTGACACTCTTGGAGCCCACGGCCTTTGTTCTGAGCCTCTCAGGGGTCAGCAGTGTTGCGACATTTGCTGTTGGTGAGGGCAGGCCCTTCGGGTAGGGAGTGGCCATCCTTGGTGTTTGTCTGAGGGCAAAGGTGAGAGTGGGGGAGGCTGCTGCAGGCAGTCCTGGGCCCCCTGCACCACACCCAGGAAGGACAGGAGGGGCAGGCTGGGGCCACTCGCCTGCAGCAGTAGTTGGAGGTTACAGCCGCCTGGAGGTGCCGGGATCTGGGTCCCGATGAGTCTCAGCGGATGCCTGGCTGCTTGTCCGGAGCCCTGTCCCCCGGGACACTTTCCCTGTTCCCTTGGGCCCTGGGTCTTGAACAGCCCAGACCGCCTGCCACATCGGTTGGCCCAGAGATAGGGCCTTGGACTAGGCAGTGAGGAGCGGGCTGAGCCACGTCACCCCCTGAGACCCCTGGTCTCTTCTGGGTGAGGGACAGATGTAGCTTCAAAGGGACAGAGTCCTGCCTGGCCGGTGTGGCTCAGTTGGGTGGTGTCATCCCACATACTGAAAGGTCACTGGTTTGATTCCGGTCAGGGCACGCCCCGGTTGCAGGTTTGGTCCCTGGTTGGGATGCATATAGGAGGCAAACGATCAATGTTTCTCACATTGATGTTTTTCCCTCTTCCTCTCTCTTGAAAATCAATAAAAAGATTTTTAAAAGTTGGGGGCGGGGATAGTCCCTGGACCATTTCCCACGTGGGAATTTTCTCAGGGCACCTGAGGGCAGTTCCCTGTTCAGGCCCTTGTGTGTGGAGGGGGCAGTCCTCCCTGTGGCCTGGCCTGGGGTGAAGACATGGGCCAGCACAGAAGCCACGGTGGCCACCAAGCCTGGAGCATATGGCTGGTCACCATGGCCTTCAGTGGACTCTGGCTTGAGCCATGAAGCCTGGGAGCTGGATCTGTTCCAAGGCCAGAGTCCAGCATCTTCTAGGAGAAGGGGCATGTCCTCTGGGTGGATGTGCTGTTGGCAAGCTCACTGTGCCACTGACCGGGCATGGGAGAGCTCAGCCATCTCCCGGTGGGGGTGCGTCTCCTCCAGGTGCTATGGGTTTGCTGGGGCTACGGACCAGCGGTGGATGGTGGGGCTGGAGGGCAGTGTGGGTGCCCCCTCTGCAGAACCCCTCTTCCTGACCCCTCTGCCTGGCCCCCCTGTGCGCCCCCCTCTGCCTGATCCCCCTCTGCCTGGCCCCCCTCTGCCTGGCCCCCCTCTGCCCCCCCCGCCTGATTCTCCTCTGCCTGGTCCCCCTCAGCCTGGCCCCCCTCAGCCTGCCCCTGCCCCCCTCTGCCTGGCCCCTGCCCTAACAAAGCCTGGTTCTCATGGCCTCACAGAGGCTCGGGGCTGTGGTCTGTTATTCAGGGGCACACTGCAAGTCAGACCTGTTTTGCTGGGCAGTCTGTCGTTCCTTTGGTATTCCACACACACACACACACACACACACACACACCCCCCGGCGATGGAACAGCCATGCCCCAGAGGGCCCATCCCCTGGCTCCGCCCTGCTGTCCTCCATCTCCAGGGGAGCTGTCAGTGGGGGAGCTGCTAACCCACTGGAGGAAGCAGATGGCAGCAGGAGAATGCTGTCCTGCCAGTCCCCGGGAGCCAGGAGGTCAAAGTCTGGGCCCTCCCTGGGGTGGGGCGCCTCGGGGTGGGATCCCAGCCGGTTCTGGTAGAGACGAGAGGCCTCCCTCACTCGGGCGAGAGCTTCACGTCCGCCCTCGGTGTCCGCCCTGGTAGCAGCGTCCTCAGGCCGCGGGGACCTACCTGCAAGCCCTGGCTTCACGTCTGGTGGGTGAATTCGGGGTACGGTGGGTGGTGGCCATGGTATCCTTCCTGGCACAAGCAGCAATGCTCCAGAAAAGCTTGGTGTCCCTGGGGGCCACTCTCCCTCTGTCCCTGGCCTGGGCCCCGTCCTGGGGCTGATGTCAGGTGGCCCGTCCGGCTGCTGCGGTTGGAAAAGGACCATTATTGCAGGATGGGGCGATAGGGCTTGATTCGCTTTAACAGGACGGGGGGACACGGACTCAGGGAGCCCAGGGGTGGGAGCTGGAACAACAGGGCATAAACCCCAATCTCTCTCCATTGGGATCTGGTTGTGGCCGGTAGCTTCGGTACCGGCCCCCATGGCTGCAGGCTTCTGGTGTCTGCTCACCCCATCCCTGAGCGGGGAAACTCACTTGGTGACAGCAACTCGCATGCTGAGGTCTCAGCATGCACCCTCAGGGGCCCACAGAGCTGTGGGGAGCGGGGGGGGGGGGGGGGGTCCTGTGTGTGTGTGTGTGTGTGTGTGTGTGTGTGTGATTACTGGGATCCAACCTGCCGCGGTTAAGACAGGGTACCCCATCAGGGTCACCCTCATCTTGGTGGAGGGACCCCGCTGTCCTCAGGGTGCCATGCCAGGCACACGCCTCACACGGGGTTGGCAGACAGTCCAGGCAGCTCCTGTGGGTTAACACACACCCGTGCTCTGGGGGCGGCGGCAGCCCCACCTTCGTGCTTCCCAGGCCAGATGTGGGCCTCTGCCCCTTTAAATCTGGGGCAGCAGCTCCTGAGAGGGCAGGACGGGTGGGGCGGGGGTCTGGGAGAGTGGCTCCTCCTGAGGCCTGCCCCTTTGCACAATCCAGGAGGCTGCTGCTGCCATCATCTGTGCTCTCCGGCTTCTGCCTGGAGGCGTGTTCTATACATCACGCTCTTCCTGAGACGCAGCAGCCAACAAGTGAGCGCCCTGCCGGCAGAGTTCCCCAGTGCTGCCGATCCAGTGCCTACAGCAGGGCTCGTCACCTGGGAGCAGGTCTGTTCTGCTCTGGGGTCCGCATCAGAGGACGGCCCCTGGGCGAGGTACTTGTGAAAGCTTCTTTCCCGGTTATTCTGATGAGGAGTCGGCAGCCGTGGGCAGACCCGCCCTGCCCTGGCAGAGTTTCCCACGTCTCCGCCACGCAGGTGGAGCCCTCAGGTTAGCCGAGCCCACACGTGGCCACGTGCGTTGCCCAGCCAGGGTGATCCTGTGTTGGACTCACTCCGGGGAGCTCTTCCCCACTCCCTTTGGGCCAAGACAGGGTGTGGGTGTCACCCCCAGAGAGGCCCTTCTGGAACCCGCTGCTCTCTGGAGGCTTTGCAGACCGCCTCTGTCCTCAAGCCCCCAGCGAAGGGCCTGTGCTGCCCCTGCCCTCCAAGGAGCAGCTGCCACCTCGCCTACCCCTCAGCAGGCCTCCCACCTGCCCCCATCGGTCTGCAGGGTCAGAGTCTCCTAACGGCGTGTCAGGGAGCTGGCCCTGCTTAGGTGCCTTTTGCTCTTTTCATGTGCAGGTCTGGGGGACCAGCACACACCCCAACTGTCCGTGACAGGCCTGAGCTCTCGCTGCCCTCCTGCCAGGGCCCTGCTGAGGAGCAGGTGGTCCTCGGGAGCTTGCACTTTGGGCAGCACGTCCAGCCCACACCGGCCTCGTTGCTCCTTCCTCCAGGCAGAGCCTGGCGCCTGAGGCCCCACACCTGAGGGCCACATCCTCACTGCGCTGGGGCCGGCTTCCCTCGGGCTCTACCTGCATCAGGGCACAGGGTGGTGTCACCCGGGGCATGGCCAGGTGTTAGCTCAGACCTGGATGGCACTGTGGACCCTATCCCCACCCACTGTTCTGGCATTCTTGGCCAGGCTTCCCCTCACTGCCTAGTCCTCTGTTCTCCAAAGGCAGAGCTCGTTGTCAGAGACAAACCAGCCCTGGACCCAGTTACGAGCAGTCTGCTCCATGAACCTCTGCTGGGCATGCTCTACTTCAGGCTTCACCTGTCTCTCTCCTCCCCTCACCTGCTCAGGTGAGCCACGGAAGGGGAGTGTCAGAAACTCCGGGCCCATTCCCCTCAGGGGGCTCCTATGTGGAGTGGTGGTTAAACTCTGGGGGGCCGTTCATATTCTGATGAACTTGTAATCATGGGAGAGGCAGGTGATCTGAGTGACCCCGGCTGATGTGGAGCTGACCCTGGTGGTGTGCTCTGCGCCTGCTCAGAGGCTCCGGCACAGAAGCTACCGGCACGCGTGGCTCGTCCGTGCAGAGATGGGCATGGACCGCAGTAGACGGAGGCCAAAGACCTTGACCCACGATGGTGTCACGGGACTCCCGCATGGCTCCACCGGCCTCATACTGACGTGGTAACAATAATGTTTTCGGTGCGTTGGATTATGTGAGGTATCGATAGGTTATCGAGATTCCCATAACCTGTCCGTGGTAACGTTCTTACGTGGCTGTTGGTGAATTGGAAACCACTTCTGTGGCTTGCATGCTGCTCCTTCTGGACACTTGCATGGACACTCTAGTTCCTGGAGGCTGGAGCCAGCAGACAACCGTTCTGGGGCCAGGTAGGGATGGTGTCAGCTTTGTGGACCACCACGGGGGTCTGCCACTCCCTTGTGTGGCAGTTGTATTGTGTTTTGTGCTGAAAGCCTGAGTGTCAGGTGACTTGTGGGGCCACCATGCCAATCAGGGCTGGTGCTGCTGTGTCCCACCCATGTCCCTTGGAGAAAAGGCATCCGGGCGAACATTATTGCTACAGGGGTCCTCGGCCTGTCTGACCAAAGCTCTTATGGGGTAGGGGTCACAGGCTTCTGTGTCGTGTAGGGAGTCCGGCACAGCCCCACCCACAAACCCTAGGCCTGCACCGCAAGGATGCACTCCCAGTTCCCTCCAGCCCCTCGCCCCGTTACCGTGCGGCTTACCTGGGAGCTGGGAGAAGGGTGTCAGTGGTAACAGTGGACCTGGGGATGGGGCTCTGCTGGAGGTCACCTGCACAGCTGGATGGCCAAGCAGATGTCCATCTTGGCCCAGAGCCTGGCCGAGTGGGTGAAAGGAGGCTGGATGGCATCTTCCTTAACCTGACTGTGACCTGCCTCATTTGAAATGAGATATGCCGTCAAAACCGGTTTGGCTCAGTGGATAGAGATCACCTGAAAGGTCCCAGGTTCGATTCCGGTCAAGGGCATGTACCTTAGTTGCGGGCACATCCCTAGTAGGGGGTGTACAAGAGGCAGCTGATAAATGATTCTTTCTCATCGATGTTTCTAACTCTCTATCCCTCTCTCTTCCTCTCTGTAAAAAAATCAACAAAATATATTAAAAAAGAAAGAAATGAGATGTGCCACCTCCATCTCATGGTGGATGCTCTTGGATTGTGTTCATTCCTCCTCTTGGCCAGTGGAGGTAGGGCCTCCCTGCAGTAGACAGGCTGCCACTGGCCAGCCTCCCAGTGCCTCTCACGTCACTCAGCTCCTTTTGGGGCCCTGATGTTCCTCTCGGGCAGGCGGCTCTCCTTCGGGGGCGGTGGGTACAGGTTTGTGCAGGTCTCTGCCCGGCTTTGCAGGGCTGCACGTGCTCCCCTGTGCTCACTCCCCTTGTTTTTCCTCTTCCTTTGGTTAAATGTCCTCTTGATTCTTTCCTCCACAAGAAAGCAAAAGTGTGTCCTTCTCTTCTCACTGAAGATAAGTGTCTTTGGAGACCGGTGGCTGGTGGCACCATCATCCCTTTCCTGGTGGCAGCTGATGGGCTGATGCGGGTTTTCAAGAGCAGAGGTTATGGGGCCAGGGGCTGAGCACCTGCAGCCCTGCTCCTGGCCCAGTGTGCCTGTGTTGGGGGTACACTCTGTCGATGCCGGTCCCTCAGCCCCGTGGGAACCTCTGCTGTGGAGGAGCCTGGAGTGGGTGTGCAGGGTGCCTGCTGTGGGTCAGGCGGGCCCTCCGCTCCCGCTCCATGGCTGTCCCCTTCCCGCCTCAAGGCCACGTGCCCTGGGCGACCCTCCCGGATTCCTGGGGGCTTTGATCCTGTGAGTCATGCTGTTTCTTCTCTTTCTCTTTATTCTCTCTGTTTATTTTTGTCGTGTGACTCTGACCAGCCGGCCACCCTGACTCCTGTGCGGGTGCTCACCTCCCTCCATGCTCCGGCCGCATGTGACCGGGCCCGGCTCTCAGTGCGGCTGCCGGCACGGGGGCCATGGGGAACTCCGCTTCCTCGCTGGCCGCCGAGACCGAGTCGGACCACAGCTTTCCCGGGGGGCCATCCTTCCCAGGGCCCCCGGCAGCGGCCGGCTGCTGTAGGAGCGGTCCCGGGGCACCTGTCTGGGGCAGTGCCCTGCTTACCCGGCAGCACCACACCCCACGCCCCCAGGCCCGAAGGTAAGAAAGATGGCGGGCCCCAGGGGTGGGCGTGCTGCCCTGCTGGCGCCCCTCCTTTGGCAGAGGGGCTTGCAGAGAAGTGGGGATCCTATATCTTAGGGTCCTCTGGTGACCTGCTTCCCCTTAATGGCACGAGACCTGCAAGGCTCTGGGGCTGCTCCATGCTTGGCGGAGGAGCTGGCTGGGCCTCCGTCTGGTGCTTGTGATGGGGCAGCTTCTGGGGCATTTTGCCTGGCGGGTGGGGAGTCTGCCAACCCCAGGCCTGGGTGGTGCTGGCACGCGCAGAGAATGCTGGCTTGCTTCCCATCGGGTTTGGGGGACACTGCTCACGGACCCATCTGTGCGTGTCACCCCTGCTCTGACACAGCTGCCTGCGGGGGGCGGGATTGTGCCACAGGGGCAGACCTTCACATGCCAGCTTCCTCCGGCTGTGGCCGGACTGGTCCAGGTTTCCCAGCTCGGGCTGCCTGTTGGATCACCCCTCAGAGGTGCTGGGGTGACTGGTGTGAGGGCAGGGCAGGCTCCGTGTCCCACCCTGGCATTGACGCCCTCTCACCCTGTCCCGAGGCCTTGCCGGGTGAGGGGTGCCCGGTGCTCAGCACACACTCAGGTTCCGCAGACCTTGGAGCAGAGGTGGGGGAGCTCCTGCTCTCTCAGGGGCCCGGCGCGGGTTCAATGGGTCATAGATAGCTTCTTCCTGTCGCAAAAGCATGTCCTGGGCTTTCCTGCCAGGTGGGCACCGAGCAGGTCCTGATGGGCATGAGGAGGGGGCCAGACACGTGCGATGGCATGGGAGCTGAGGCTTGAGTCCCTGGCAGAGGAGGCGTCTGGGAGGGGGAGAGGGGCTAGCAGAGCTGTGTGGGAGAGTCTTGGAGGTCACCCTAATAGCTTACAAGAATGGGGCTTGAGGTCCAGGAGCAGGTCGGTGGAGGGACTGGTGAGAGTTGGGAATGAAGTGCAGTGAATTCTTAGCGAATATCCCCTTGTTACTGTGTTGATGATGCACTAGTGAGCATTTCTATGTCCCAGCTTTATTGAGATATAACTTTCTACAATCAAATGCACCCCTCACAAGCATACAGTGCAGGTATTTTTAGTCTGTCCATAGAGTTGTGCTACCATCACCACAATCCAGTTTTCAGCATCTTTCTGCCTCACAAAGATCCTGCTTGTTTGCAATGCCTCTCTCTCCCCAGACCACCACTCAGCTTCCTGTGTGTCTACAGATTTGCCTTTTCTAGAAATTTCCCATCAGAAGAATCCTATGTGTTCTGTGTCTAGCTTCTTTCACTGAGCCTAATGTTTTCAGGGTCTGTCCATGTACAGCGTGTGTTAATGCTTCATTCTTTTTATGGCTGCATAGTATTCCACTGTCCGGGTAGCACATCTGTTTACCCATCCCTTAGTTGCTGGAATTTGGGTTGTTCCCCCTGTTTTTTATGTATTGCGCTTCTCGGAACATTTGTATATAAGTTTTTGGGTGATGTATGTTTTCATTTCTCTTGGGTAGATACCTGGGATGGAATTTCTGAAGTTTATTGCAAATTTATATTTAACTTTTTAAAAGTATATTTTTATTTACTTCAGAGATGGAAAGATAGATGGATGAATGGATGGATGGACGGACGGACAGACAGACAGACAGACATCAGCTGTATGCCCCACACTGGGGATCGTGCCTGAAACCTGGCATGTGCCCTGATCAGGAACCAGGCGGTGACCTCATGGTACATTGGTCGACGCTCAACCAGTGAGCATGCTGGCTGTGCTGTATTTAACTTTCTAAGAAACTGCTGGACAGTTTTCCAAAGTAGCTGTACCATTTTGCATTCCCACCAGCACAGAGAGCTCTAGTTAACACTTATCATCCATGGTTTTGGTCCTGGCCCTTCTTGTGGGTGTGAGGTGGTGTCTCGTGGTGGTTTGATTTGCATTTTCCTGATGGTTGGCGACGTTGAGCATCATTTCAAATGTCCATCTATCCACAGACGTCTTTTTACTTTCACTTATTTCCTTAGGGTAAGTTGGTAAAAGTAGAATTATTGGATCCCACGGAAAGAGGCTGGACCCCCGGGTGAGCAGCAACTGAGCTGTGGACCCGGTGGCGTTTGCCAGGCAGTTTCCTGAGGCCTTGCGAGCACTGTGTGTGTGTGTGTGTGTGTGTGTGTGTGTGTTAGTGTGTGTGTGTGTGTGTGTGTGTGTGTGTGTGTGTGTGTGTGTTAGTGTGTGTGTGTGTGTGTGTGTGTGTGTGTGTGTGTGTTAGACTTTGGACCTTGACTCACACCCTTAAACCAACTGCCTGGTGACTTGGGTTGCCCTTTCTCAATCTAAGAAACTGCCTCCACATCAGCATGCAGCCTCCTTGGCCAGGAGAGCCCCATGGCAGTGCTGGAGCAAAGAGAGCTAGGTGTGGCCACATCAGACTACCAGTCTGGGGGCAGGAACTTTGATGCCCCAGGAGCTATTCATCTTAATAAATTATTGGGCCCTGGCCAGTGTGGCTCAGTAGGTAGAGCCTCGGCCTATGGACTGAAGGGTTTCAGGTTTAACGCCAGTCAAGGGCACGTGCCCGGGTTGCAGGTTCTATCCCTAGAAGGGGGCGTGCAAAAGGGAGCCAATCAATCAGTGATTCTCTTTCATCATTGATGTTTCTATCTCTCACTCCCTCTCCTTCCTCTCTGAAATCAATAACAAAGATAAATAAACAAACAAACATTTGGTGGGAGCATGGGCTGTGTTCAACTCTGGGCCTTCCCTTGGAACACAGAGACAGGAAGATGATCCAAGGCCGGCTGAAGGTGGCCTTAGATGAGGCCCCAGCACGTTTTGGAACTAGCAGGGTGTCCGGGATTGTGCTGCCACAATTCAGACTTCCTGGCGTGGTCTGCCAGGAGCCCAGCCTCAGGTTCAGTGGCTTGGCCTTGTGTGTGGACACTACTTACTGCTCTCAGCTTTCCAGGGAAGCAAAAAGGTCATCTCCCAGGATTGGGCCGCTCACATCCCTGCAAACATGCATGTCCTGGGCGCTGGGTGGACTTCACAGAGAGCCCCAAGAGCAGTTCCAAAGCCTCCCTTTTGACTTAGAAGTGAGTGTTGGTGACTCGGATAATGAGGGTAGAGAAGGTATTTGTTGTTGAGTTTTTCTGGACAGTTGTCTCAGTATTCCATTTTACTTGGTCTTCCTGTTGGAAGGAGTAACTTGGGCAGCCAGTTTCCTCCCCCAGAAGTGATTGCTTCTGTGTCTTGGAGCACAAGTGACTCAGCCTCTTGAGTGAGTGTCGTAGAACTTGGGAACATTTTATGTTGAGAGTTTGGTTTGACTCCAGGTTCCCAACCTTCTCTCTCTTTTAAAAAAAAAAAAATATAAACATATATATATATATATATATATATATATATATATATATATATATTTTATTGATTTTTTTTACAGAGGAAGGGAGAGGGAATAGAGAGAAACATCGACGAGAGAGAAACATCAATCAGCTGCCTCCTGCACACGCCCCACTGTACATGCCCTTGACTGAAATCGAACCCTTCAGTTGGGCCCTGGCCAGTTTGGCTGTACTGTATTTAACTTTCTAAGAAACTTCAGTCCGCATGCCAATGCTCTATCCACTGAGCCAAACCAGCCAGGGCCCATCCTTCTCTTATTTCTAGGCTTTGCTTGGCGATCTGGCCTCACCTTTGGACACTCCAGGGATTTCACGCCTCTAGGCCTCGCCGAGTGTCTCCTGCGCCCCAGACGTGTCAGGGTGGCCGTCGAGGGTGGCCACACTGCTCCCCTGCTCAGCGTTCCTCTATCACTCATCACTGACTGACCCCTGAGCCACTTCTCACCACCGATGGCACCAAGATGGGTGTGAGCTGTAAGGTGTGGGTTGCTGGTCGGGGAGGGAGCACTGTGCCAATCCTGCAGCTGGGCCAGCACCATCCCCAGAGCCTCCTGCTAGCCAGAGGCTGCCCAGCTCACTGTTTCCCCAGGGATAAATTGGATTTCTAGGCCCCGTTTTCATTGAAACTTTTCTGAACTCCAGACAAAACCTTCCTGATTCTTGTCCCGGAACGGCTGTGGAACCTGCCCTGTCCCGGGTGCTGTCCAGGACCTGCAGACACCTTGCCTTGTGTGCAGCCGGCCCAGGCCAGGGACTGGCCAGCGGGTGGGTCACACAGTGAACAGGACTTGGGATCTGTGCCCTCTGGTGTTTGCAAGGCTGTCCTTGCTCAGTGTGCCTGGGACCTGCAGGCGTGCGTCCTGGGAGGGTCCTGAGGCTTTTCTCTGGAGACCTCCCAGGCCAGGTGGGGTGCGCAAGACGGGTGACCATCGCCTGAGCCTGGGGTTGGGCGGAGGCTGCCTGGGCCCCGGCCTGTGTGTGCACGTGGTGCGGTGGGAACACGGCATGCCACATCTTGACTATGGGCCCTTCTCTGATGAGGAGCAGCGGGAAGAGGTATCCAGGCAGATTTCTTAGGTTCACACAGCACCGAAGCCAGGCCAGGCCCCTATGCCGGTGCTGGTGCCCACTTGCTCACCCGAGGCCTAGTCCACAGGAGTCGGCTTCACAGAGTTTGCTTTGGATCTTGGGAAACAGTCGTGTTGCCCAGGGTGGATTTTTCTATTTGTTATTGAAGAGGCAAGTTTTCTTTCTTCCTGAACCAAAAGAGCTTGGTGTGAGTCTCGCATTAGAAGACAAGTTTCATGCCTTGTTGTAGAGAACAATTGATTTTTTGGCCAGCAGAGCAGCCGTGAAGGAGAGTGTGTGTTGTGGTGTCTGGGCACCCCCTTGAGGCCAGGTTAGCCCTTGAGAGGCAGGTTAAGGGGGTCAACCTCACCCTCCCCTCAGACCTATTACCCCAAATGGGTGGGAGGAACCATTCGCGGGCATCCCACCTGCCCTGCTGTGGGCCTGAGCGCCTTCTGCCCCCGGGAGAAGCCGAGGCCCAGCCTCGGGGGAGGTGGGCAGGCCCGATGTCCAAGAACCCACCCAGCAATGTGAGCTGCATTCCAAGGCTCCAAGCAGCTCTCAGGGCAGGCTGTGCAAGGAGACCCTAAGAGGGTGGGAGGTGGGTGCCCTGCCCTGCTCTGCACCCCAGCAGCGTCCTGAGAGCCAAGTGCAGGTCTCCAGACTCCCACCTCCCTGTCCTTCAGGCCTGGCAACTTTGGGGGTACCGTGTCCTCTGGCCACACCTGGCCTGTGGTGCAAGGCTCCCTTGGGGCCCTGCTCCAGGACCAGGGCTTGAGGGTCTGCCATCCCCCTGAGGTGAAACCCATCCTGGTATGTCTGACAGCAGCTCCCCCACCCCCTGCTGCACAGCCAGAGGCCTCCTGGGATAGAAGCTCCGGAGGGTGGAGCCACCCTGAGTGTTGTCAGCTCTATAGCCACACCCAGGTGCATCTTCCTCCCCCCCCCCCCCCCGCCAGTCTCCATCCGTCTCAAAAGGGCAGTGCCCTGCTGCACACAGGATCTCTCAGGTCTGGCTGAGGCTGCTCAGGACACTGGTCTCCCTGCCCCTTCCCTCCTCTTTGCTTGGATATCCCCACAAACACTCGCTCTCCCCGGGCTCGGCAGCCTGTCCCCCACCACCACTCTGTGGGCCTACCGTGGCCCCACCACCTTGGGACCCGGGCTACGAGAGGAAGAGGGTTTGCATGTTGCTTCAAGACACTGAGCTGCCTCCTTAACCTCCGTCAAGCAGGACTGGGCCAGCAGTGGTCCAAGTGGGCAGATGAGTGGAGATTCCTCAGCCCCCACAGAGCTCAGGGGCTGCTGGAGTGCAGATGGATCACTGCCCGTGGCTGGAGACGGTCAGTCCAAGGGCCTTGGCATAGGGACAGACTCAGGGGGTGCTGCGAACTCTGCTAGGTTCACTTTGTGGTCAGATACTTGTATCCCTCAGCACTTGTCGGGATTGGCTCCCACCCAGGAAACTCCAGAAGCAGAGGGCCAGCCGGGAGCCAGCTGGGAGATGACCATGCACACCCTTGCCCTCTCCTCATGTACTCAAGCTTTTTTTATGAGATGAAATTCACGTGATAAAACTATTTCAAAGTAAACAATGAATTATTTAGTAAATTCACAGTGTGCAGCCATCACTTCTACCTAGAGCCAAAACATCTTCACCATCCCGGAAGAAAACCTGTGCCCAGCACACAACTGCTGTCCGGCCCCTGGAACCACCAGTCTTCTTTCTGCCTCCATGGGTTTACCTGTCCTGGACGTTTCCTGTAAATAGAATTATACAACATGTAGTCTTTCGTGTCTGGCACCTTTCACTTGGCATGTTTTCAAGATTATCCATGTTATAGCATACGTCAGAATTTCATTCTTTATTCATTGGTGGGCATTTGGGTTGTTTCCATCTTTGGCTGTTATAATATAGTGTGTGTGTGTGTGTGTGTGTGTGTAGAATACTACTTTTTACTTCTGTGGGGTAGAGACCTATGGGTGCAATTGCTGGGTCATATGGTAGGTCAGCTTACCTTTTTGAAGAACTGTTTTCCATAGCCGCTGTGCGATTTGTTATTTTGCATTCCCATCGGCACTGCAGGGGAGGGCTCCAGCTTCTCCAGTTTCAGCAGCACTTACCTGCAGGTTTGATATTGGCCATCCTAGTGGGTGTGAAGTGGTGTGTCAGGAGTTGTGATTTGCATTTCCCTGATAACTAGTGGTGAGCATCTTTCCATGTGCTTACTGGCCATTTGTGTATCTTCTTTGTAGAAATGTCTATGCAAGTCCTTTGTGGACTTTTAAAACAGGTTGTTTTTGTTGTTTGGTTTTAAGGGTTCTTTACATATTCTGGACCAAGACCCTTATCAGATAATACAGCTTGAAAATATTTCCTTCCATTTTGCAAGTTGTCTTTTCTTTTTTTTTTTTTTTTTTTGAAGTCCATTTTTTTCTTTATTTGCCCATGCTTTTGTGTCATGTCAACTAATCCATTGCTGAATCCAAGGTCATGAAATTTTACCTATGTTTTCTTCTAAGAATTCTGCAGCTTTTGTTCCTACACTTAGGTCACTGCTCCATTTTCAGTTGATTTTTTAATACAATGAGGTAAGAGCCCAACTTCATTCTTTAGTGTTTATATCTAATTGTCTAGCACCATTTGTTAAAAAGACTATCTTTTCCCCATTGAATGGTCTTGGAACCCTTATTAAAAAATCACTCCACCACATATGTGAGGGAGGTTGTATTTCTGGACTCCTCATTCTGTCCCATTGGTCATAAAAACCATATAGTATAGACATATAGTCTGTCCTTACACCAGTATCACACTGTCGACTTTCTACCTCTCTTCAAGATTGCTTTGGCCACTTGGGGGGCTCCTGTAATATATTGTGAATTTTAGAAACAACTTTTCAATGGCTGCAAAAAACAAAAAGCCGTAGGGATTTTGATAGGGATTGCATTGAATCTATAGGTCACTTTGAGTAGTATTGTCATAATTATATTGTCTTTTAATCCATGAACATAGGATTTTTCTATTTATTTAGGTCTTTAATTTGAGCAATTTTTGTAACTCTGAATACAAATCTTTCACCTCCTTAGTTAAATTTATTTCTAGGTGTTTTATTAGGTGCTATTTTTAAAAGGTATTGTTTTCTTTTTTTAATTCTCACCCACGGACATGCTTTTTCATTGACTAGAGAGAGAGAAGGGAGAGGGAGAGGAAAAAAGGAACATCAATGTGAGAAGGAAGCATCCATTGGTTGCCTCACGCACAAGCCCGGGCCAGGGATTGAACTCGAAACATGGTATGTGTCCTGACAGGAATCGAACCTGTGATCCTCTGGTACATGGGACGTTCTGTAACCACTGAGTTACACTGGCCAGGACAGTACTTTTTCTTAACTGCCTTTTCAGATTGGTCACTGCTGGCACAGACATATGGCTGATTTGTGTGTGTGTTGATCTCGTGCCTAACAACTTTGCTGAATTCATTTATTAGCTCTAGTCATTCTTTCCTTACTTTAAAGATTCTTGGGATTTTGTGTAGAATTATATTACCTGCAAACGGAGATAGTTTTACTTCTTCCTTTACAATTAGATGCCTTTTATCTCTTTTTCTTGCCTAATTGCTCTGGCTAGACCTGCAGTGCAGTGTTGCTAGCATGTGGAGTTCCTGACCTGGAGGACAGCATGCATGCCTTCGCCTCAGGGCGTGCCGCTCGCTCTGGGTGCTTGGCTGATGCCCTTTCTCCTGCGGAGGAGGTACTCCTACTCCTTCCTGACTGAACGGCCAGGGCCCTGTGGTTACCAAGATGGTGTGGCTCAGCCCATTCCTCTGTGCCCACAGGTCCACCCCTCCAGAAAGGATTTGAGGACAGAGCTAAGGGGTTCTTCAGAGGCTTTGGGGGGCCTCTTCTCCTCAGAGTCCTTGCCCCTCACAGGCCTGATGTCTGTCACAGCCCAGAAAGGCACAGGTCCCGCTGGCCTGACCCCCCTCATCCCAGGTGGCGACGCGGGCGCCATCCCGCGGGCCTCCACTGACGGGGCCTTCCCTTGCAGCCACACGCCCTCGCCCGGGCCCATGGCCACGGTGGGAGAGTGGTCCTGCGCGCGCTGCACCTTCCTGAACCCGGCCGGCCAGCGCCAGTGCTCCATCTGCGAGGCCCCCCGGCACAAGCCCGACCTCGACCAGATCTTGCGGCTCAGCGTGGAGGAGCAGAAATGGCCCTGCGCCCGATGCACATTCCGGAACTTCCTGGGCAAGGAGGCCTGCGAGGTGTGCGGCTTCGCCCCAGAGCCCGTGCCTGGCACCTCCCTGTTGCCAGTCATCAACGGGGTCCTGTCCAAGCCGCCCACCGTCCCGGTGGAGCCCAAGGGCCGCTGCAAGGAGGAGGCGGGTCCAGCGCAGCCAGAAGAGCCAGTGGCCATGGAGCCAGCGGTGGGCCGGCCCGCGGAGGAGGAGGGGGCGGCAGGACCCGGGAGCGGCTGGGCCTGCCCGCGCTGCACGCTGCACAACACGCCCGTCGCCAGCTCCTGCTCTGCCTGCGGGGGCCCCCGGAAACTCTCGCTGCCCAGGATCCCTCCGGAGGCTCTGGTGGTCCCCGAGGTTGTGGCTCCCGCCGGCTTCCACATCACACCTGCCCCACCCCAGCCGGGGGAAGGTGCCGAGGCCGACCCTCCCTCTGCTGCTGACCAGGAGCCGCCCCGCTTGCCACCCTTCAGCCCCTTCTTGCCCACCTTACAGAACAACCCCGTGCCTCGCAGCCGCCGTGAGGTACCCCCCCAGCTGCAGCCACCGGTGCCTGAGGCCGCCCAGCCCTCACCCCCTGCTGGCTTCAAGGGGCCCCCCCAGAGCCCAGGGTGGACTCCAACTGGGGCCTCCCGCCTGGCAGAGCAGCTGGCAGGCAAGCGGCTGAGCGCCCTGGAGGAGGAGGAGGCCGAGGCGGGCTCCGTGCTGCGCCGCTGCAGCTCCTGCTCGGCCCCCGGCCCCTCGAGCCTGTGCGAAGCCTGCGGTGCCGCTCCGGGCAGCGATGTCATTGACCTGGCCGGTGACACTGTGCGCTTCACGCCAGCCAGCCCCTCCAGCCCCGACTTCACCACGTGGTCGTGCGCCAAGTGCACGCTCAAGAACCCCACGGTGGCCCCTCGGTGCACGGTGTGCGGCTGCTCCAAGCTGCACGGCTTCCAGGAGCACAGCGAGCCCCCGGTGCGCTGCCCCGACTGCAGCGCCGACAAGCCCAGCCCCTGCGCTGCCCACAGAGCCGGCCGCCTCTTCCCCGAGGCCCCGGAGCGCCCCGGCCAGTGGGCCTGCCCCGCCTGCACGCTGCTCAACGGGCCGCGGGCCAAGCACTGTGCCGCCTGCCACACGCCCCAGCTCCTGGAGGCCCAGCGCCGGGGGGCCGTGCCCCTGAGGCGCAGGGAGAGTATGCTGGTGGAGAAGCGGCGGCAGACGGATGAGGGGGAGGCCAAGGCCCTCTGGGAGAACATCGTGGCCTTCTGCCGGGAGGTGAGTCCCCTCGGGACCGTGGTCCACCCCGGGGCCGGTGCTCCCCTTCCCGTGGGCCTCTCTCTGTGTCTTTTGTCCTCCCGCCTTCTTCAGCCACGGAGAGGGAGGGACCGGCGGCAAGAGAGGCAGCATTCTCTTCCCCGGGCTCTGAGCATTCGCCTGGCACCCACTCACCCCTCACCTGAGTGCGACTGGCCCCCACTATCCATGTCTTGTCCCTTTTGTCTCTGCCCACAGAGTCCCTGGCCGCCTAGTCTCTGGTCCTGACCCCTCTCAGGTGTGACTTCCCACAGACATTGAAGCGAGGAGGTGGGGACAGGCTTCACGTCAGCAGGCAGCGCTGTTTCCTTCAGCTGGGGAGGCATGGCCAGAACTCGGGGTTCTCATGCCCTTGGAGCTGTGGGAGGCCTGAGCCCAGGGTAGTGTCACTTCAGGTCAACTGGGGGGGCTGCTGCCCCTGTCACTGCCAGTCGCCCACCCTGACAGCCCATCTGGTCTTTTTTTCGTTTTTAATATATTTTTATTGATTTCAGAGAGGAAGGGAGTGGGAGAGCGACAGAAACGTCAAAGATGAGAGAGAATCATGGATCGGCTGCCTCCTGCACGCCCCCCACTGGGGATCGAGCACACAGCCGGGGCACGTGCCCTTGGCTGGAGTCAAACCCGGACCCTTCAGTCCTCAGGCTGATGCTCTATCCACTGAGCCAAACCAGGGAGGGCCCATCTGGTCTTGGGTCCTGCCTTCCCCATCCCGGTTGGGTCCTTCCACCTTCCTCCTGGGCCTTTATGTGGTGGCCCATGGACTACCTGGCGATGCTGCCCCAGTTCCCTGTGCCCCATGCCCTCCACGTCTGCAGCCTCCAAGCTGGTGGCGTCACCATTTCCTCGGGGCATACACACCTCCCGTTGACCTGTCGCCAGGCTTCAGTGACGTGGTTTGCTACCGGCCCCCATGCCTGCACGGCTGAGCTCACCACGCAGGTCAGGGTGGCTGCTCATACCTGCCCCCTTTCCTCTGGGACTCAGGTAGCATTTTCAGTGCTGTCCTGGCCTGCCAGGTGGAGCGGGGTGCACTCAGGCCTGGGGCGGCCCAACTCAGCTCAGCATGTGTGGCTCTGGTCTCTGCAGAACAGCGTGAACTTCGTGGATGACAGCTTCCCCCCCGGGCCCGAGTCTGTGGGCTTCCCTGCAGGCGACAGCGTCCAGCAGCGCGTGAGACAGTGGCTGCGGCCCCACGAGATCAACTGCTCCGTCTTCAGGGACCACGGCGCCTCCTGGTCCGTGTTCCACACCCTCCGGCCCTCAGACATCCTCCAGGGGCTGCTGGGCAACTGCTGGTGAGTTTGGGGTGTCTGCGCGGGCCGGGAGGTGGGACAGCCTGGCCGGGCTTTCCAGTGAGGCCCCGGCTCTGTGCAGGTTCCTGAGCGCCCTGGCCGTGCTGGCCGAGCGGCCGGACCTGGTGGAGCGGGTGATGGTCACGCGCAGCCTGTGCGCGGAGGGCGCCTACCAGGTGCGGCTCTGCAAGGACGGCACGTGGACGACGGTGCTGGTGGACGACATGCTGCCCTGCGACGAGGCCGGCTTCCTCCTCTTCTCGCAGGTGGTAGGGGGGGCGGGCGCGGGGCGGGCGCGGGGCGGGTCCCGGTGGGCCTCGTGACTTCGGCCCCTCCCTGCAGGCCCAGCGGAAGCAGCTGTGGGTGGCCCTCATTGAGAAGGCGCTGGCCAAGCTGCACGGCTCCTACTTTGCCCTCCAGGCAGGGCGCGCCATCGAAGGCCTGGCCACCCTCACCGGGGCCCCCTGTGAGAGCCTGGCGCTGCAGGTCAGCTCCACTAACCCCCGAGAGGAACCCGTTGACACTGACCTCATCTGGGCCAAAATGCTGAGTTCTAAGGAGGCTGGGTAAGAGGGGCGGGTGCTGCGGCGGTCAGCAGCTTTGGGAGGAGAGGAAAGAGGAGGCGAGGGGACAGCCAGGCCGGGGGGCTACTCAGGGGCAAGTACCCTCTGACCAGCAGCCTGTGTTTCACAAGGCGTTTCCAGTGTGGGCTGACCACAGGTAGTTAGAAGGCCTGATCTGCAGCCCCGTCCTCTCCCACTGCTGGCTCATGGGTCCCGCCTGCCAGTCCAGGGCGGTAGGCAGAATACTGCTGATCAGACCTGGGCCAGGGTGACCATCGGCACCTGCCTGGACACCGGTGGAGGCACCTGGTGGGGGTGGGCTGCCTTCTGAGACCTGGCAGGCATTGGCCAGCGTGGCTGTAAGGGCACAGAATCCTAAGCCCGAGAGAGATGGCGTGGTGCTGAGACCCCCTGCTCTCAGCTGATAGCAGGCATTACCACCGCCCCATCCCCTCAGGACGTGTGGCCCGGAGCTGATGGGGCCCAGGCCTCCCGACGCCCAGCCCAAACGCTGGGAGCTCTGGGGCCACTGTAGGGAGCAGGCCCACACTCCCTGAGCCCTGGGTGTCTTTCCTGTGTTCCTGGGATCCGCTCTCCCCCCACAGGCAGGCAGGCAGGCAGGCAGGGCCCCGCTCTAGGGTAGCAGAGGCCCCCGGTGAGTGAGCCCTCCTCAGTGAGGGAGGCTCCTGTTGCTAAGGGGCCCCATCATTAAGAACCCCTGGTCGGCAAGCCTGTCCGGTCAGCGAGGCCGCTCTGCCCACACAGGTTCCTCATGGGCGCCTCCTGTGGGGGAGGCAACATGAAGGTGGACGATGCTGCCTACGAGAGCCTGGGCTTGCGCCCCCGCCACGCCTACTCCGTCCTGGACGTCCGCGATGTCCAGGGCTCCAGGTAGGCGCTGGGTGGCCGTGGGTAGCCGGGGCATGTGAGAGTGTGGTGGCAGCCGTGGCCCTCAGCCCCGTGGTCCGCAGGCTCCTGCGCCTCCGGAACCCGTGGGGCCGCTTCTCCTGGAACGGCAGCTGGTCGGACGAGTGGCCGCACTGGCCGGGGCACCTGCGTGGTGAGCTCATGCCGCACGGCAGCAGCGAAGGAGTCTTTTGGATGGAGTACAGCGACTTCATCAGGTACCTGGACTCCGCAGCAGGGGGCGTCCGGTGTCTTCCGCACGGCCCCGCTGTGCTCTAGCCACCCTCACTTCGGCCCGCCTGACCTGTCTCCCTCACTCCCTTGCCCTGACCCCAGTATGTCCTGCTGGGGAGCCTGGCCTGTCCCTCGGCAGACCTGAGGCGGAGGTGGGGTGCTGAGAGAGACTGTGGGAGGTGGGTTCTGCCCTGAGGACTCTTTCCTCTCGGGGTCATCCTTGGGCATGGGGCCTCCTAGTGGTGTTCGTGGGCAACAGCCAGGACAAGGTTTTAGGACGTTGGTCCCCAGAAGTGGCCAGGGCACAGTGGGGCGGAGATTGGGAAGGGAGAACTGGACTCCTGTTGGGAACGGCTCCTGTGTCTGGAGCTGTCCAGTGGGCTGTCTCTCCCTGCTCAGGTACTTCGACTCCGTGGACATCTGCAAAGTGCACTCGGACTGGCAGGAGGTGCGGGTGCAGGGCTGCTTCCCCAGCTCGGCCAGCGGGCCCGTCGGGGTGACGGCACTCACCGTGCTGGAGCGTGCGTCCCTGGAGTTCGCCCTCTTCCAGGAGGGTAGCAGGTGAGGGAGGCTGTGCTCGGGGGGAAAGGTGGGGGGACGAGAGCACTGGTTGGGGTGGGCACGTGGATCTGGGGGTTTGTGGAAACGGGACTGGGTGGTGCCGTGGGGCGGTGGAGCCACAGACAGCAGGTGCTGGGTCTGGCCGTAGGCGTGCGGACTCTGCTGACAGCCACCTCCTGGACCTGTGCGTCCTGGTTTTCCGAGCCTCCTTCGGCAGCGGCGGCCGCCTGAGCCTGGGCCGCCTGCTGGCCCACAGCAAGCGAGCTGTCAAGAAGTTTGTCAACTGTGACGTGATGCTGGAGCCCGGCGAGTACGCCGTGGTGTGCTGTGCCTTTAACCACTGGAGCCCCACCACGCCGGGCCCACTGGCCACCACACAAGGTAACGTGGCCCCCTGAGCCCCATCCCCGACCCTCCCCACCGCAGCCCCAGGCCCCCTCACTCACACCCTCCACAGCCTCCAGCCCCTCAGCGGGGGTTCCGCGCTGCTCCCCGGAGCCGCCCGGCCATGTGCTGGCTGTGTACAGCTCAAGGCTGGTCATGGTGGAGCCCGTGGAGGCCCAGCCAACCACGCTGGCAGACGCCATCATCCTGCTCACGGAGAGCCGAGGGGAGCGGCATGAGGTGAGGTGGGCAGGGGGGCGGGGGGCGGGGCGGGGCCGGAGGAGGAGGCCTCACCCACCCACGCCTGCCCTGCCCCTGCAGGGACGTGAGGGCATGACCTGCTACTACCTGACGCACGGCTGGGCGGGGCTCATCGTGGTGGTGGAGAACCGGCACCCCAAGTCCTACCTGCACGTGCAGTGTGACTGCTCCGACAGCTTCAACGTGGTGTCCACCCGCGGCAGCCTGCGCACCCAGGACAGCGTGCCGCCCCTGCACAGGTGGGCGCCGCCCCGCCCCGCCCCCTCCCCGGCCTCCGCTGGCCCTCACCGGCCCCCTCCCCCAGGCAGGTCCTGGTGATCCTGTCCCAGCTCGAGGGCAACGCCGGCTTCTCCATCACCCACCGCCTGGCACACCGCAAGGCAGCCCAGGCCTTCCTCAGCGACTGGACCGCCTCCAAGGGCACCCACAGCCCCCCCCTCACACCCGAGGTTGCCGGCCTGCACACGCCCCGGCCGTTGTGACCGCCCTGCCCCCGCCTGCCTGCCTCCCACATGCACTTTAGGAGGGAGACCCCAACAGAAGATGCTTGAACCAGAATCTCAGGACCCCACCCAGGGAGCTGCAAGCCACAGAGCAGACCTTCCCCCGGGCCTTCCTCCCTGGGCCTCCCCGCCACCAAGCAGAATACCTCCACCCGCTTCCAGCGCGAGGGGCCTGCGCCAGCTCCTCTGACCAGCCTGCCTCGAGGCCGGGCTCAGATTGCCAGGGCTGAGCTGTGGCCGCCCGTCTCCTGTGGGCCTGGGGCCTCCTGCCTGGGTGAGGCAGCCAAGAGCTCCATTTGCAAAACCAAATCTGGGCATGTCAGAGGCTGGGGCCCCAGGGTGAGCAGGGACCACCCCATCCCCCCTTGTGGGGATCAGAGCCTGGGACCCCAGGATGAGCAGGGACCACCCTTGTGGGAGTCAAAGGCCAGGACTCCAGGGTGAGCAGAGACCACCCTCTTGTGGGGTCAGAGGCCAGGACCCCAGTGTGAGCAGGGACCAGCCCCTGGTGGGGCATGAGCCTCCTATCCCCAGCTTGCTTCAAGAGCCCATCTTCCCAACCCTTGGACCCCCACAAGACAAGCAGGGGCCCCTGGAATCCCAGCAGTGTATCCCAGGAGGCAGGTGCCTGGCGACCATGGGCTCAGGGCCAGGGATGGGGAGGGTCCTAGCTGCCTGCCCCCTCTGGCGACACTATGCAATTCCTGGACCGCTAGTCAGGATCGAAGCCATGCCCCGGGGACCGCGGGTCAGGAGCTGCCATTGGTGAGGTGGTTTGTCCTCAGCACCACTGACTCTGCCAGGAAGACCAGGGTCCAAACAGAAGTCCTGGCCAGCCCCGTCCGGCACACACGGAGGTGTGGCTCTCCCCTGCCTCAAGCCTCCCGGCCGCCCTCCCCCATGGCTGCTCAGAGTCCTGCACCTGCCTGTGCACCTGAGGCCAGCCTCCAGGGGCCCGCCTGGCCTCTGCCCTCCCGCCCCCAGGCAGGGGGCAGCTCTGCCCACCGCCCCTCACTCCCCTAGGGTTTGCGGGGGGTTTACAACTGGAGAAACACCAGGAAGCACTACACTCCCCTTTGGGCCTCCTTTATATTTTCTCCTTTTACTCTCGAGCTGTGAATATTTTTAACCCTGTACATACAGCCAGCTCTTCTGACACAGAGACTATTTTATCAGCCATCCCCGCCCCTTAGGATGATCCTCCATGGTGTTTCCAGACTCAGGCTCTGATGGACCAAATGAAATGTTTTGTTTTATAATGCTGCCGCCTCATCTGTCTGTACCCCGCCCCCCGCCTGTATGTGCAGAGCCGTGATGGTGGGGTGGCTTCCTGGTACCGGAGTTCACCCTCACAGGGAGCTGTTAGGGCCACCTGCTCACAGCTGCCTTTGACCCAGAAAGGAGCAAGTGTCCAGAGGGTGGGTCGGACGTGTGGGGTCGGCAGGCTGGTCCCCACAGGCCTCGGCCGCACGCAGACGGGATAGTACGGAGGTGCGGCTTTCCCAGAGCCATCTTTCTGGGGTGCCTTCTGGGGTCATCAGTCATCAGGCAGGAGCAGGTGGAGCGTGGGGGCCGATGAGGAAGAAAAGTTTCCATTCTCCTGGGGGTTGCGACCTGCTACTGTCTGGCCCCGGGTGGTCCCTCCCGTCCATTCTCAGAGGCCCCATCCTCCTGTCGAAGGCCAGCTCCCCCTCTGGTCTGGGGTTTTTGGTCTCAGTCTAGGCTCCTCCCTGATTGGGGGGTGGGTCTGGGGTACAGAGGCTGGCACTCAGCGAGTGTAAGAGGCCTGTCACAGGCCAGCCTATCGAATGTGAAAGCAATTAAAGCCACCAGCAGTGTTCCCTCCGGGCGGGCCTCGGGCAGCGGGGGAGCTGCCACAACACATCTCACCTCGACGCCCAGAGACGCCCGCCCCGATCCAGGCGCTGTGCGGGCCGGCCAGACCCTCTCCCGTGGGGCGGGGCCGGGCCTCGCAGACCCTCCAGCCGTCGGGAAGCTGGCTCGGTCGCCCCTGCGGCGTTCAGGCAGCCTGGACCTGTTCCAACGGCGTCTGCGGTGTCAGCCAGGCAGCGGTCCGCACGGCGGGTCATGGGGCTGCATGCCGATCCCCTCGGCCAGCCTGGAGACCCTGCTCCCCCCCAGCCAGCACCTCCCCTTGGGCCCCAGCCTGGAAGGGAAGAGGTTCCAACAGGGAGAGAGTAAGAGAAGGCCCAGGTGCCCCCAGCCCTGGAGGGCACAGTGTCCAAGGAGTTGGGGGGCCCACAGGAAAGACCCTTAGTCATGGCACTGAAGCTTGAGGGATGGGCTGGCAGGGCCAACCACCAGAGGGGCTGAGGCCGCTGGTGGTGAGAGGATGGGGGAGCCAACCCAGCCTGAGGAGTGAGCCACCGGTTGTGCTCTCAGCCGTACAGGGTGGCACCTGGACCCCAGGCCAGGGAGTGGACCGGGCAAATGGCCACAGCAGGGGAGGGCATGAGATGGGTACTGCCACCCTCCTCACTGTGGGGCTGGGCGCCACACAGCCTGCTGCATCCCCCCTGACTGCTGGGGCTCCTGCTTGCAGGCTCTCCTTTCTCCCCTTCTCTTCCCTGCCCTCCCGTTCCCAGCACCCCTGGCCCCCTCCTCCTCTCTGCCACTTGGGTTGGCCCTGTGTGCCCCCACTGCCCCCTCTCCCAGCCCCTGTCCCAGGCTGTCTCTGCCCACCCGTTGGCCAAGGCAGCCTTCCCACGGCGGGCGGTGCTGTGTTCTCACTTGTGAGGCATCCCTGTCAGAAGCACTTAGTGTACAAATTAGCCTCTGCCTCCCGCCTCCCTCACACAGCTCTGGGCGCTGGACTGACAAGGCTGAGGCTCCCGGCCCTCTCCCGCCTGCCCCAGGGCTGGGGCGCCAGGCCCGTGCACCCCTGGCCACCCACCCACAGCCGCCAGGGCTTCTCTCGAGGACCCAACCTGATCTGGGTGGGACCTCAGAGGGTGGGGCGTGCAGGGATATATCGGGGGCCAGCACCTGGATCCACCCCATGTCAGGTCCCCGTTGAGAGCCATGGGGGACAGACGGGAGCCATGCAGAGGCTTTGCAGCCCCCGCTCGCTGGCCAGCCTGCCACTCAGGCAGGAAAAATCGCCTGTGACAGGCCCAGGAAGGCCAGGCCCCGGGGGCCGAAGAGCAGCGTGCACAGCTCCTCTTCCAACATATGGTTGCTGTCGGCCTGGGGCGCTGCTTGGCCGGTGCCGGCTGAAGCTGGGTGGGGGCTCAGGGGGCCCAAGCCGCTCAATCCCACCCACCTGGCCAGGCTGCTCCCTCTGATCCAAGGCTCCCGGGCCAGTCCGCGTGCCTCCCGCAACGGGGAGCTCACTCCCGCTGCAGCCTCATCACAGCCGTCTGAGGCACCGTCTCCACACCCCACGCCAGAGCCACTGGGGACCTGATGCATCCGGGTACAGCACGTGGGAGGGCAGCTGGTTGGATGGCGCGGCACATTTGAAGTAGGCCCGGGACAGCCTGCCGGCCCGGGACAGCGGATGCAGAGGCCTGCTAGGGTCCCAGCTGGGCCCCTTCCCTTCAGGGGGGCCACTCCAGCAGCCCCTCACAGGTTCCCTCCATGTCACTGAGTGGAGTGGTGAACACTTGCTGGGATCCCCATCCACACAGTCACCCAGCCCCATCACCGGCTCTGCCCCGCCCCTCCACCCTGCTGTGGGGCCCACCCCTCCCAGCCTTGGCTCCCTGAGGCCACCTCGAGTGGGCAAGGTGGGGGGAGTGCTAAGGATGACCCGTGCTCTGGGCCCCAGGGGCGTGTGACACCAAGGCTGCCATATGTCCCGGGGCTCATCAGCGTGTGGGTGAGCGAGCCATGCCATCACCCTGTGTGGTGCTGACCCCTCTCAGAGTCTGTCCGACCCTGCCTGGGGCTCCCGCTGCCCCACCCCCATTCCTCTCTCCATTGGGCAGGCTAACTCAGTCCCTACCCCTGCCCTAGTGTGTGTACCCTGAGGGGGCGAGACAGGCCTACTGAGCACCGTGCCACCGCCCTGCCTTCCCTGGGCCCCCATCCCCTCTACCCCTACACCCCGCCCCCAGGCACACATACAAGTGCTAGTGGAGGTGACAGGCAGTGGGCTGTGGGCAAGAGGGGCAGAGGTTAATGGGCGAGATGAGCTCTGAGGGCAGAAGGGGGCTGTGGGTCCCCACACCACCCTGTTCCAGGACCCGCTGAGGAGAGAAGGCTGCTCCCCAGGACCTGGTGCCAGAAGCACCCAGAGACTAAGTCAGGCTCCACCTCCCATTCTGCACCTGAGGGCACCGAAGCAAGGGTTTCAGGACTCGGCAACATGGGGACCAAGCCCCGTGCCAAGGAGACAGCCAGCCTCCCTGGGCCGGTTTACCCCAGTATGTGGGGTGAGTCCCACTGGGCAGGTTATCACCCACCCCCACAGCCCACTTGGGCGGAAAGTGGGACAGGCCCCAGGCACAGTGTGTACCAGCTGTGCGGGAGCAGCTGTGCCCGCAGAGCCTCGAGCAGAAAGCACAGGGTGTGGGGGGCTGGCACTGCCGTCCTGGCCTCGCCCGGTCTCGGGTGGTGGGGATGGCCATCTTTGCACCCGATGGACTGGCCTGACACACGCCAGGCCCCTGGGCTGCGGCTGCAGCCGAGCTCCCAGGGCCTCCCCCACCACCCCAGAAAGCCCCTGCACAGACCCCTCCTGGAAGCCTGGAAACATACCCCTTGGGTGCTGAGTCCCCCTGGAGGTGCTGCCATCTCCTCTCACCCAAATTTCTGGCGGGGGAAACAGCCCCAACCGCAGCCACCATGGCTGGTGCTGAACTCACTTTCCAGGCCACCTCCTCCTTTTCCCAGAACCCAGTCCGAGTCTCTTCTCAGAAGGGGGGGGGCTTGGTCACCTGACTTCACTGGCCTGTTCTTCGTGCTTCGAGCAAACTTTCTAATCCAATACCTTTCCCTCCCCTGGATGATGGCAACAGCCTCTAGCCAGCCCATCCCCTGTGGAGGCAGCTGTGGCCTCTCAAAGGGGTCAGCCAGTGAGGGGCAGGGAAGCACAAAGCTGGTTCTGGGACCATGTGGCCAAGATCTGGGGTCCCCACTCACACTGTCTCAAGATGACCTGTGCCCACTGCCCTCTCCGGGCAGCGCCTGTGGTGAGGGGCCGGGGCCCGGCTGGGCACAGCAGGGTTGGGTTTGTGTGCACAGAGCAGGCCTCCTGGCCCCCGCTCTCCACAGGACTGCTGGCGTGACGGCGGCTCAAGCTGTCTCCCGGCCCGGGGCTGCCTGCACGGTCAGCTGGTCAGCCGGGCCAGGCCAGGCCGGCAGCGGGGGAAGCTGGCATGCCGTGCCACCCACAGCAGCCCTTCCTGCGCCATGACTTGAGGGGGAGAAATGGAGCACCCCAAGCTGCATCAGGGAAGGTGGCACTGGAGCAGAAGGGAGACCGACCGGCTCGCTCACCCTCACATCAGTGCCTTCGCACTGGCTGCCCCCCGGACCTCGGGACTCTGTTCCTTATGAACGCGTGTGGGTTGGACAAGGACACCTGTGCCAGTAACTGGGCCATGGCCTGTCACCCTCCTGCACAAATTGGGAAACTGAGGCCTGGCTCACAGGGCCCAAAACATGCTAACCTCTGGATCCAGTTCTCTCCGGTCCTCTTTTCCCCATTCGAGATGGGACACCCAGAGGCCCCTAGGGTACTCCTTCCTTCCCCTGCGTACTCCTGTCCCCCAAGCTGAGCTGGGGGTACTCCAGGAAACCTGTCGCTGAGCCTACAGGGAGAGCCAAGTGAGCTCTCACAGGGCCCTCTGTGCCCCCACGGAGCCAGCCCGGAGCGCACACACCCCTCTGGCTGCAGATCCCACTCGCAGCCTGAACGGCACCATCTCACGCCTCCGGGTTGAGGCACTTCCTCCTGAAGGAGGCAGATTTGCTGGGAGAAGCATGGTCTGGCTCTGTCCTGGCGTGTCTGTGTCTATGTCCAGATGGAACTGGCTGCCCAGGTGAACTTCCCTGAGGACCCAGCTGAGAAGTAGTGGGACCCCAGACTTAAAATCTGGTATCTTGGGAAATAATGTGGAAGCTGGTACACCCTGGGTGGGGCTGGGAGCACTCCGGCCATGGGGACATTAGCGGGGACCATGGCGGGTCTGTGGATACACAAGCCTCTCCCTGGCCTCCCCCTTCCCATCCTGGGGCCCTCCAGCAGCGGAGAGGCTGCAGACAGAAGGTGGAGGGCCCGGCTGTACCATCCTCCTGGGGCACCTGCCAGGGGAGTGAGGAGTCCGGGCTCGGACTGGAGGAGGTAGCAATGCTTTCAGGAATTGGGGGGTGAATGTATGAGCCAGTGGGAAGGGCAAGGGTTTGGGGGTGCAGATCCATTCAGCCTCCTGTTTGGAGCAGAGGACACAGCACTGGAGGCAGAGCTGGCCAGAAAAGGAATCTTGTTCCACTGTCCCCTCACTGGGCTGGGCCTGTGCCCTCCTGGGCTGGGCCTCAGCACCCCCCTCCCCCAAGGCTGGCTCTGTTCCCCACAGCACCCCCTGTCCTGGGGCTTGGCCCCTAGGCCCTGGCTCAGGCAGGCAGCTGTCAGGGGCCAGAGCCCTGCTCTGACGGATGAATGCTGACGGCCCCTCTCCAGGTGCCCTCGCCGCTGACACCCCATCACACCGCTGCGGGGACCCCGGGAGACCTGGCCGCCTCTGCGCGCACCCCCGCGGCAGCCTGCAGGCGACGGGGGGCGGGGACGGTGCCAGGCGCCCCGCATTCGCCTGTACACCTGCGCCTCCACTCCGGCGTCTCCGCGGCGCTGCCCGTCCGTCCCCGGTGGTGCCGCCGGTGTCACCGGCCGCCGCTCCATCCCGGAGTCCCCGGCGCCGCGGGGAGCTGGCCAGGTCCCGGCGCCCGCCGGTGAGTGCGCGCAGGGGCGGCCGTGCGCGGGGGGTGGGGGACAGAGGGGCTGGGAGAGCGGTCACCGGGGGCGACCGAGGGGAGACGCCACCTGCAGCCGCTCCCCCCCGCCCGCCCCCGCCGGTCCGCGTTGGAGGTCGCAGCGCCCCCCGGAGCCCGGCGCGCGGCGCACGCGCGGCCGCTGCTGCCGCCAACTTCAGTGGGTGCGACCGGCGTCGGGGAGACCCGGTCGGTCGGCGGCGAAGGCTTCGGGGACTCGCTGCCGAGTGAGTGACCGCAGACCGCGCGGGGGGCGGGGGTGGGGGGGCTCTCCTACCATCGGGCCTCAGTTTCCCCCGCGGGAGTCCGTGTCGCTACCCCGAGAGCCTGAGCCGGTGTCGTGTGGGGTGGGGTGGGGAGGAAAGGGTGCCGAGGGGGAAAGAGCGAGAAGTTTCTGCCTGATCCTGGGGGCGCCGCGCAGACTTCCCGGAGCGCCGCGGGCTCGGCTCAGGCAGGGTGGGCGCAGCTCCGGCGCAGCTGGCCAAGTCCAGGGCGGCGCGGGCCCTGGCTGGGTGCGAGGGCAAAGGGGTGGCGGGGTGGGGGAGTGGCGGGGTCTTGGGGGGGGGGGGGGGACTCCGGGAGTATCCCAGACACTACTTTCCCACTTCCCAGCGTCCAGGCTCCCGGCACCAGGATTAACTGGGTGAAGCAGCCCCATCCCAGGGCGCCCTCCAGGGTGAGGCTGGGGAGGCTAGGGGGAGGGAGTTGGGGTCTTAAGGAGGAGCCTGCTCACCCCCTCTGCCCTACACCTTGTGGGGTGCTCCCGAGTCCCAAAGGGGCGCAGGATGGGAGAGCTGTAATCCCTTGGTGGCCGCTCCAGGAGCTGCTGTCCCTGCTCGCCTCCTGGGGTGGGGCCTCCTGCTCCGCGCCTGCCCCCAGGTCTCCCCAGACAAGGAGAGGTTAGTGGGATCCGGGTGTCTGGGCTGGCACAATGTGGGCGCAGGCTCCTCTGGAAGCATGCACCCAGTCACGGGTTGGGACGTGTGTGCCAATGAATGTGCCTTTGGATGTATGTGGGTACGTGCTGGTGTCTGGGGGGGTCTCATGCCTGTGCACAAGAATGCCGGGTGGGTGTCAGGCCTCCTCTGGGTCCCTGTGCAGCCAGCAGCTGCCGGATGGGTCCCGGACAAGCCCCCCACTTGCTCCTCCTGAGTCCTGGGGCCCAGGAGGATACCCCCACCCCGCCCCCGAGTCCAGGGACTGGGCTGGGAGGTGAGGTGGGCGGTGGCACCAGGCAGCACAGCTGTGTGGCTCCCAGGGCTGGGTGATCGATGGCCCCAGCACAGCCGTCTCTGTCTCCCCAGCACACATGCCCATTTGTCATCTGTATCTTGGGGGGCTGGGGGCTGGGGGCTGCCTCTGCACCCACCACTACGTCCTGGGAGCCCTTTCCTGGTCCCAGCCCCCTCCTCCCAGCCCCTCACCCCTTTTGGAGCCCCATCCCCTCCCGGATGTAGACACCCCAAACTGCTCCCCTCATCTCTGCTCACCCTGCCTCCCATGTCCCGGCCTGGCCTGTGCTAACCCCTCTCAGAGGCCTCCTCCCGTGGGCAGCCTTCTCTGCCTCCCTGGCTGTCCCCGTAGTGGGGGTGCTCACCCGGTGTTGGGGAGCAGCAGACATGCCTGCCTGCCATGTGCAGAGCCCGAAGGCCGGCAGGGAGAGCAGCCTGCTCTCTGCGGCTGCCCGGCTGCCCCAGCCCCTGCTTACCCCACGGGCCCTCCCTGAGCCCTGGGAGCAGCAGGAGTGTGTCCGTCCGCATCCATGAGAGTGTCTGTGACCATGTGTGCAGTGTGCATGTATGCATGTGTGTGTGGGCACATTGCACCTGAATGTGTCTGAGTATCTGCTCACGCCCCGCCTGCGCTGTGAGTGCATTCACATGCAGGTACCATGTCCACACTGAGTGTGGTGTGAGTCTTGTGTGTGCTTGTGCCCAGAATTTCGGAGGTCCACTCTCTTCCCACTTGGCCCAGCGGTGCAGAGGCTGTCCCTCGGGCACTGAGAGCTCGGCTAGAGCCTCACACACAGTGCGCCACACTCCCCTCACGCCCCGCCAGGCACACGCCAGGGTGTGGGCAGCCCAGGTGGCAGCCCAGATGGAGGGCAGGACGGCTCGGAGGGGACACGCAGGGCATGGGGGGAGGAAGAGGTCTTGGCCGAGCTCGGCCATGCAGGCTCGGCTGATGCCTGCCCGCAGCCACCCAGATGGAGCCCGGCTGAGCAGGTGGCTGTGCCGTGGGGCCGTGCTGTGATGTCCACGCCCCCCAGCCTGGCCTCCGCCGCGTGAGGCTGACCCCCTCGGAAAGCTCGAGTGCCCGGCAGAAGCACACACTCATGCGTGTGCACACAGAGGCTCAGAGCCTTCTGCCGGCTTCTTGTCTCGGTGCTTTTCTCTCAGCTTCCCGGCACAGGCAGGGGGTCTGTGGAGGAGTGGGACAAGGAAGAGCTGATGCCCGCCCCCCCCCCCGCAGGACCAGGCCTGGCCATACTTAGCTCCTTCCAGTCACTCACCAGTGCCCGCTGGGCAAACAGAAACAGGTCTGGATGGAGTCACCCCAGACCTGGGCCTGCTGGGGGCTAGCTGGGCCTGAGGCAGAGATAACATACCAGATATCTAGTTAAACTTAAATTCCAGGTGAACAACAAATACTTTTTATAGTATGTTCCAAATATTGGCTAGATTAAAAGACATATTTGTCGTTTATTTGAGTCAGATGTAACTGAGCATCCTGCATTTTTTTGTGTGTGTTTTTTTTATTTATTTATTTTTTATTTTGTTAATCTACACCCAAGGATATTTTTCCCATAGATATTTTAGAGAGAGTGGAAGGGAGGGGGGAAGGAGGTAGAGACAGAGATAGAAACGTCGATGTAAGAGACACACATAGATTGGTTGCCTCCCACACCCGCCCCGACCGGGCAGACATGGAACTTGCAGCCCAGGTAGGTGCTCTTGACCAGGAATCGAACCCGACACCCTTCTGTGGGGGCCGACGCTCTAGCCACTGAGCCCCACCGGCCAGGGCTGGACATCCTGCATTTTTATCATCTGCGCCCGGTGGCTCTAGAAGTGTGGGTGGAGAGGGGCTGAAGGGTGAGGTGGGGAGGGTGTTCTAGGTCCGAACTACCTGTGTGGAGGCAGGGAAGCCCAGGCTCAGGGAGGAGGCCATGCCATGCCCGGCTTCTACCCCTGGCCTCTGGGGGCCGACGGAGGCACTGACCGAGGCCCCTTGTCTGCAGGTGGCCATGGTGCCGCGGCCGGCCCGCTAGCAGGCTGCCATGTCCCGAGAGGTGGCAGGCTCATGCCGCCTGGGCTCCGGGGCGCGGGCGCGGGCACGGAAGCCCAAGAAGCCACACTACATCCCGCGGCCCTGGGGCAAGCCCTACAATTACAAGTGCTTCCAGTGCCCGTTCACCTGCCTCGAGAAGTCGCACCTGTACAACCACATGAAGTACAGCCTCTGCAAGGACTCCCTCTCGCTGCTGCTGGACTCCCCAGACTGGGCATGCCGCCGTGCCCCGGCCACGCCCCGGCCGCTGGAGCCCGCCACGGACTGCCCCCCTGACCCCACAGACCCGGGCAGGCGGCCCCGAGCAGCTCGGCTCCCAGACGCTCCCGCCACGCCCGACCTCGTTGTCACTGACCTTCTCTCCCTGCACCGCTGTGTCGGGAGCCCCAAGCCAGAGGCTGAGGGGTCCCCAGGGACACCTCCCCCTGCAGCCAAGGATGCCCACAAGGGTGTGGGCCTTGGAGGGCTGCTGGCCGAGTCCTGGAAGCCAGGGCTGGGCAGGGGCCCCAGGAGCATGGCTGTGGCAGACGCAGCCACAGTGGGTCCGGAGAGCAGCGTCCCCTGCTACCCTCCGCCCGCCTCCAGCGAGCTCCCTGAGGCCCAGAGCCTGCAGCTGTCCCTGCTGGGCGTCAACTACCCTCTCGGCCCCAGCCTCTTTTCCTACCTGGGGCCCTCCCTGGCCACAGCGGCCCACATGCCCTTCCTGGGCTCAGCCAGCCCCCTGCTCCCCCCAGCCTCGGCCTTCCCCGCCCTGCAGCCCCTAGAGCGCCCCACCCCTCTCCCCCGCCTCTATTACCCTCTGCTCCTGGAGCACAGCCTGGGGCTGCCGGCAGGCAAGGCTGCCGCCCCTGCCAAGGCTCCTGCTCCCCCCAAGGGACCCCCCGGGACTCTGGCCCCCGGGCTGTTAAAAGTGCCGATGCCTGGGCTGGGGGGGCCCTGGGCCTGTGGTGCCCCCAGGGGCCCAGGGCAGGAGGGAGGGCTGGAGCTGGCTGCCCAGAGTGACCCCAAGAGGAAGCTGCCCCCAGGGAGCAGGCTGGAGCCGCCGAAGGCTCCCTCCAGCTCGGCCAGCTTTGGTTCCCAGAGCAGGTAGGTGTCAGCGTTCCCCAGGCGTGTTGAGGGGTGGGTTGAGATTGGGGGGAGGGGGGCTGGGCCTCTGTTCTGACTTAGGGTCCGGGAATATGTGCTCCAGGCCACGAAAGGACACTGAGACCAGAGAGCCAGTCTGTCTGTCCTCCTGGGTCCCGGGTCTCTAGGCCAGGGAGACAGACTGCACAGGGAGCGCGCGAGAGAGAGTGGGGCGGAGGCTGGGGGAACGGGGGTGGGGGCGGAGGCTGGAGGCTGGGGGAACGGGGGCGGCGGGAGGGAGGCAGCACCGCCTTCTGACCGGCTCCTACTCCCCAGCCTGCGGAATGGCCCCTCGGTGATTCTCTGGCCGGAGGACAAAGAGCCAGGCGCCCCGGACATCCCGCTGCCCCAGCAGCCGCCGGGCCTGGTGCTGGGGGGCCCTGGGCACGTGTGTGAGGACCTGACCCGGGCTCTCGGCGACTATGCTAGGGTGGAGCAGCGCCTGGGGCAGCTGGCACCTGCCAGGGGCCTGGCCCCGCGGCCTCTGCGGGAGCAACTGGGCAAGATCCGCAGGGAGCTGCTCACCATCCGCCAGGTGCTGGAGCAGGCCGCGCGGCCCCCAGACATGCCGCTGGACCTCTCGGTGAAGCGGACACCGCCCAAGGTGCCCGAGGCGTCCTCGGGGCCCTGGGAGCAACCGGAGCCGGGTTCTGTATTGGCCCAGGGAACCCCTGAGCCAGCCAGGATGCTGGGCCCCGCGGGGGCGGAGCCTTTCTCTGGCCATACCACCAAGTGTGAGGCTGACTCCAGTGTCCCGCCCCCGGGGCTCCCCCTCCCAGCCCCCGATGACCCTGTCATTCCCGGCAGTAGCTGGGGCCCCCGGGGCAGGGTGGGGGGCTCCTGGCCTCCGGAGGCTGCCTCTGGCCTGCAGAGCTCCCCAGGGGCCGAGGTCTGACCACAGTTCCGAACAGACAGAGCCCCTTCCGCAACCCCATGCCCACCGCCTGGCACCCTGCCGGCCTCCCTCCACCCCGGGGCTGAGACCCGGGGCCTGCCCAGCATGCCCGAAAACATCCCCCCGCCACCACCACGGCCGAGGCCTGTCCCTGGGGCCACACAGGGACAGCAGAGAGTCACGGCTTCTTCTTGACCACAGCTGTGGACATTAAAATAGAAACCGCCTTCACACACCCTGTCTGAGCCTCCTCTTTCCCTTGCTGCTCCACTGTCGCCCTCGGAACACCGTCCCACTGTGCAGATGTACCAGCCACGGGCATCTGGGTGGGCAGCGTCCTGGGCCGCCCTGCCAGTGTCCACCTCCAGATCCTAACCTGCTTCCTAAGACGGGGCCCTCCCCAGAGGGGCAGAGTCTGGGGACAGAGCGGGGGGGCTTTCCATCGGAAGGGGCAGAGCGAGGAGAAGCAGGTGCACGGACCAGAGCGTGTGTCAGCACATCGGTGGTGGGCAGGGCCTCCAGGCATGCCTCCAGCCCCTGTGTGCCTCGCAGGGCAGCCCGAGCGTCAGACCCATGCTGGAGGCTGCTCCCACCGCAGTGAGAAGGTGCTCCCCACATTCTGTGGCCCAGGGCTGTTTGCCCAGCATGGCCTCCCCTGGGCCCCTGCCAGCGCCTGCAGCCATGATAGGCATCGGGTGGCCTTCACAGCTCGCTGCCTCCCTCCCGGCCAGACTCGCCTTTCCCACAGGCTGGGGTGGGGGTGGGTAGGGGGGGGAGCTCCTCAGGGGACCCTTGGACCCAGCTAATCACTTCTCTCCCTGGGAGTTGGCCCTCTCAGGAATAGCCCCGAGGAAGGCAGTTCCTGCCTGCGCCCGGCTCCCCCGAGCTGGACCAGCCGGGCTGGGGCCAGTCGGAGCAGGACCTGTGGCTGCCCCATTAACCGTACCGGGCAGCAGATAGCATCGGCCGCCCTCCCCACCGGGGGGCATGAAGCGCTGGTGACCAGAGTGGGGTGCAGGCCAGCCAGGCGGGGAGAGCTGTGAGTTGCAGACAGAGGCTGACCCTCCACCTCCAGGGGCTTCCCAGAGGAGCTGCAGGGGACCGTGGGCTGGGTTAGAAAGTGTCCAGAGAACCCCCAGGTCCTGAGCCTTGGGCCTCCCACCTGCGGGTGTTGTGTCTGCTGCTCCCTGATTTCTCATCACCCACAGGGCAGACAGCCTGTCCCTGTTCGGGAAGATCACCCAGCTTCACCGGCGCAGAAATGGGAACAGAGGGATAGGACCCAACCTGCCCATTCTAGGGGCAGGGGACAAGATGGACCCCTGGAAACCCTCCACCTGGCCCTGGTCCTGCTGGGGGTCGGGGTGGGACCGCTTCATCTGCAGATACTTGCTCAGAGCCCTCTGAAGAGTGAGCCCTGACATCGCAGAGGGTGTGGGTGTGGACGCTGTGGGGCCTCCCTGGGGAGGGGCTGGGTGCGATACCCACGGGTGGCATCCAGCCAAGCAGGGGCAGTGGGAAGAATGGCCCAGGGGCCGGGGCAAAGGTGCTGAGGCAGGAATGCGGCAGCCCTGGGAGTCCCTGGGGTTTGGCAGCGGAAGCGAAGTGTCAGGACTCCGTAGGGCCCATGGCTTCTCTGCCCCCTCCTCCTTGCCCATGTGGAGGTGGCCCCTTCCACTCCCTCAGGCTGCTGCTGAAGCAGGAGCCCCTTCCTGCCAGCCTCCCTGGGTAAGGGCAGGTGGGGAGGTGGAGGACAGGACCCTGGCCTCATCCCTCCAGGGACTGTGTGGTACCAATGGGAAGGCTTGGGCTGTCCCCAAGAAGGGTCACTCTCCCTGCCTACAGGAAGGAACGGTTCCATGGGCAAATGAGTTTGAGAAGCATTCTTCATCTGTTACCCTCACCCCCATCTTGGGACATCTGAACGCCCGCAAGCTCATTCAGGTCTCAGAGCAAAGCCCACAGCAACCTTCATGGTCCATGTCTCCCAGAACTGTATTCCACGCATCATGCTGGGAAAATGGGACCTAAGACAGCTGGCTGCTGGGTTTTCGGGCTGAACCAAGCTCAGGACCTGGTGGAACTGAGTTTGAATCGAATCCAGGTCCATCACCTCCACCCCCTGCCTTCACTCCTCAGTTGCCTCATCTGGAAAATCAGAACACCAGCACTGCCTGGAAGGGCACAGGGAACTGAGGCAGCCGCTGCTCGGCACACTGCGGGGCACGCTTTCTAGCAGCCCCAAACTCGGCCCAACCATGGTGACTTGCTGGCACACCCACCTCTGGCTTCCTGCTCTTTCCTCACCAGCTGGCCAGCTGCCCCCCAGGCCCTTCACTCACTCTGGACCGTCCTGGAGACTCAGCTCACTCCTGGCTCTCAGGCAGATCCCGGTGCCTGCAGGGCTGAAGCGGGGCCCAGGGTCTGTACTGCTCCCTGCTGGCCTGCTCTTCCTGACAGCTGGAGCTGCTCCTGCATCCACGTGCTCGACCTTGGGGGACTCTGTCTGCCACCTGTCCTGCCGGTGCCAGGGAGGACATCTCTTGGTGCCAGAGGATATGGCTGTGACAGGTGCTGTGCTCATGGTGGTCAGTGAACTTGTCCACAGGCTGTCCACACACTCCAGCACACTTCCCAAGTGCCCAAGGAACTGGTGATGGTGGGCACTTCCTGGCCCCTTGGAGGCTGGCTGTGGATGCCCTTGTTGGCTTTCTGGAACTGCACAGAGCTCCACAGGGGGACCCACTTTGGAGCTGCTGGTCCCAGCCTCTAGGCTGGGTCTGGAGGGGCTTTGGTGGGTGGGCCTGGGGTTTTCAGGGGCTTTGTTGTGAGTGAGAAGTTTGGGGATGCTTAGCTGTTCTGTTGGGTGTGCCCACTGATCTGGAGGGTAACGTTATTGTGGCAGACAAGCAGCAGTGTCAGGTTAGCGCTTTCCCTTGGGCTAGGACACCCATCTGCATGGTGTTTGAGGGACCAGGGATGCCCTTGGGCATGGTCTCTGGGCCCCAGAGCCAGCTCATGGTGATGACTCAGGTGGACTCAGATGGCAGCATCCCCCTTCTTGTGCATGGGCCCAGCCCTTAGGCCTCCAGACCACCATGAGAGGTAGAGTCCAACAGCCATATCTTTCTGATCCTGCACATTTGCTGAGGACCTAGTGGGCCACGCCCTGGGCTGGCCTCCGGTCTTCTCTTGGAGAGAATTCAGACTTTGTCAGCAGCCACAAATCAACGGCCTCCCAGCCTCCAAAGCTGGGTCCTCTCCATGCCCCAGGGACTGTGTGGTACCAATGGGCAGGGGCTTGGGCTGTCTGAAGAAGGGTCATTGTACCCCAGAGTTCACTGTGCCCCAGAACTCACCACTCCTGTGTCCACTCAGGCCCTGGCCCTCTGGCTCGGGGGCCCAGAAGGCCTGAGCTTTGGGACCAGCAACTGAAGCCTGGAGATCTTTGGCGTGTTGGACAAGCTGCTAGCACTTATCCTGGCAGGATCTCCCACCAAATGCCCTACTCCTGGTCTCCTAATCAGTCACAGGCAGGCAGGGAGGGTGCGGCTGGGCTGGGTGGCCTGGGCAGGGGTGCGGCTCCTCATAATCCCCATCCTCAGAGACACCCCAGGTTCCGAGCCTCCTGCAGCCTCTCTTGGCCCAGCTGAGGTAAGGGGAGGCGGAGGAGGGGCTGCCCTGGGTGTCACATGGCTGGATTGGGAGCCTTTGTGGCCCTGGCCACTTCTCCCATGGGAGACTCTCACAGGCTGGCTGATCATTCCTTTTCTCCTCTGTAAACCAGGACCAAACAGCTCCAAGTGCCTGGGTGGAGGTGCTGGGAAGGTTCCAGGCAGTGGTCAAGTCTAGGAAAACTGGGTCCTGCTACTTAAAAACAGCAGGGAAATGAGGCCCCCAAAGGGTGTGAAAGTGGGGGTGACTGAGTCTGATCCCCAGACAGGCTCCTAGTGCCAACAAGAGGTCTTCAGGGAGAGGGGACAGTGCCTGCTCCTGCTCCTGAAGGCTGATGATGGTGTGCTCCTGTCTATCACCAGGATAATTGGGGTCTATAGTTTTTAGGCCATTCACCTCTGATAAAAGTTTCCTCCATACATTGAGCCCCTGGGGGTGGCGGCATTAAATGGGTCAATGTAAAACATGTGCAGAAGCTGCTCACTAGTTGTTGCTACTGGTGTTAGGGTGTTATACCCCAGAGCAGAAGAGGCAAGGAACACTCCTGAGATCAGATCAGATGGCTGATGGTTCTCCCTGGCCCAACAACTTCCTAGCCCACCTGTCTCTGGGGCGGGGGAGGGGGTGGCTGAGATACCAGTGTTCCAAGGGGCCAGCCTGGGGCTGGGGAGGCAGCTCTTTCTGGAATTACACATAGGGCATAGGTGCCCTTTCACCCTGGGAAAAGCTTGGGTCCCTCAGATGAGAAAACCCGCGGAGGTTCAGCAATGTGGGAAGGTGGAGGAATTGGAAGGCAGGGGTGTTGGGGTGCTGCAGATGGATTGGGGGGGGCACAAGGACGCTGGTGGTGGTGGGGCACAAAGGCACTGTTGGGGGCCACAAGGATGCTACAGGGAGGGACAAGGACGTAGCGGGGTGGGGAACAAGGAAGCTGTGTGGGAACAAAGACGCTTCGAGGAAAGAAAAATAAGGAAACTACGCGCGCCTGCTCCGGGCTCCGGGGACAGGAACGTTGCACGCGCGGAACGCTCGGGCAAGGCCCGCGGGCAGCCCGAGCGCCTTTGAGGAACGGACCGTCGCGCGGCAACGTGAGGAGCCGGCGGAAATGGGGCTCGTGCCCCGAGGCTCCCTACGGCGGGGCTGGGGACTGCGGCTGCTGTCGTCCGCTCTGGCCCCCCCAACGCAACCCCCAACCTCATCCCGAACCCACCGCCCGAGGGCACGGCTCCCGGGGCCGCCGGTGAGCATTCCCGGGGAGGGCTGACGTCCGTGCGGTGTGACCTTGAGGAGCCCCCCTCCCGGGGCTGTGGGCCCCAACTCCCGGGTCGCGGCCGGACCAGGCGCCGGCGAGGGAGCGAAAGGCGCTCCCGAAGACTTCTCCCTGCCGGCGCCGTTCTCTGGCCACTCGGAGCCTCTGTTTCATCCTCAGTAAAATGGGGACGCCACCGGCCTGGGACTTAGGAGGGCAGGGAGCGGCCCCACGAGCTCCCGTCCCCGTCCGCCTCCAGGAGGCCGTTTCCGCAGACCGGGTGGGTTTGGGACCGGGCCACGTGGGTGCTCTTGGTGGGGAGTCTGGTCCCAGCACCCGGTGGGGTGAAGGGCCCCTGGCCAGTTGTTCCCGCTGCTGACCCACCCGACTTGGGTCTTGCTGAGGACTCCTCAGAAGGGCACTCAGGGTCAGAGAAACTGACTGTCAGCGCTTTATAGTTGTCCCTGACTGCAGTAAAGGGCAAACAACAGAATCCTAGATTCGTGGCCATTCTTCCGAAACGAGAGGGGGAAATGGCACTGTTCACAAAACACGGGGAAAACATTTTTTTAAAACACAAACAACATGGGGTAAACACTAATTCTTGTGAGCTATTGAGGAGCAGTGCCTGGGGGGCCTCCCAGAGGAGGGTTGCAGCCAGTGAGATGCCCGGGACTAGCCATAGCTGGGCTTTTTCCCGGAGCCAGTTTGTGCTAAGGATAATGGAGGGGGAAGTGCAGTCCTTCTTTCTCAGGTGGACTGGCCTCTGCTCCTGTGGGGCCCGCGCCCAGAGATCCCAACTGATCTGGGGATGGGCTGTTTCATAAGGGAACTCGGTGCCATTTCTAATGGGGGAGGCTTTTCTAGGTATGGGCCCTTGTTTTTGTGCTCTGTGGGTGTTGTGTGTGTGTGTGTTGTCTTTAAAGGTGTGCATGCTGCTGCACAAGTTACTGCCCTGCTTTCTCCGAATCTGCGCCTCTGCTATCGATCGCCTGCTCTTTCATCTCGTTCTGGCTGTCTGATCTGAGCAGACTTCTTTGTGCTCATCACTCCCAGAGGCTGCGGTGGGAGCAGGGATGGGGATTTGCTCCGTAATCTGTTAAGAGTTCTTTCTCACTGCCCCGCGGGTAAGAACATCAACTTCTGCTCCCTGCTCTTCCTTAGACGTGAGGAGCTGCTTCTTTTTCCTTTGTTTCTTTTCTTTGTGTGTGTGTGTGTGTAAACTTTGTAGGTAAAGCATAATGTGTACAAGGCGACAGATTTTCCCAAAGTGAGCATCCCGTGCGGTCAGTTTCCCTCAGAGGGTCCAGTTGTGCTGCTGCTTCTACAGGGAACTTCCCCCGCCCCCGCTTGTCAACAGCTGCCTGGTTGGAAGAATACTTCCCAAGTGAGCAGTTTCCTTAGCTCTTGGGAAAGTCGGCCCCACGAAGGCTGTGATGGTGTCCTCTGGCTGAGCTGCTGTGCTGCCTGGTTCCCATGGTGATTGTCAAGCCAGACACACGGGTCCCTCACAGGCAGAATCCCCCTGTCCCTCAGGAGGGCAGTCCCTGCAGAAGGCTCTGGAAGACAAGTTGGCTCTGGATGTCCATGATGATGGCCACAGGGATCTGGCTCTAGGCGGCTACTGTTGCCTGCCCTCCCTGGTCACTGGGGGCGGGGCCTTTGGATTCAATGGGGCCCTTTCAGCTGGAACCCATAGCTGTGAGAGGCCCTTTTCACAAGCTGTCTGGGAGAGGCCTCCGGTCCCAAGCTGGGCTGCCTGCAGGGAAGAAGAGCAGCTGCATCAGTAGCCTCTTAATCCCTGGGCATTTGTGTGTGTGAGGCCTCCCAGTGCCCCTGGTCCTCAGGAAAAGGCTCCCTGTGCCTCCCCCAGTGTCACACTGCCCCAACATGTGTGTGTCTCTTTCCCCTTATCCCCAAGGGCCTGGTGAGCCTGGAGGCCCAGGCTCAGTCCAAGGCCTGTGTTTTCTCCCTGCAGTCTGGGCTCCAACTTGGGGGTCTTAGCTCAGGGTGGCTCTCTGCCCTTTATGCCGATGAGGTGGGGGCCACCAGTGTCTGAGAAAGGGCAGGCCTCGCTATGAATGCCCTCAGTCCACACTTGGTGAGGTCCCATCTGGGAGGGGCTCAGGTGGAAGAATGAGGGGATTGCTGAGAAACCCTCATCCCCAGTGAGCTTACTTCTGGGCAAGTTAAGGCTCAGGGTCCCACAACATTCAGGAATTTCGGCCATTTGGTGATGTTCTTGTTGCTCAGAGGCCATGAGGGTAGTGAGAGGCCAGGAAGGCTGGTGTCCCACCTCCTGAGAGAAGACGGTGGTGTCTCTCCATTCCCCGGGCTAGTGAACTTCTCCCACCCCACCTGGTTGGAAGAATATGTCCCAAAGAAGGTGCTCAGCTGTGACAAAGGAGACACTCCCCTGTCGGGAGCCCTTCCCGGAAGTGGCGGGTGGAGGGGGCTCCCCGGGCGGGAGGGGCATGGCTGAGGCTTGAGGTCAGGGTACAGGCGGGAGCCCTGTGAGAGCTGGGCCTGTGCTCTGAGCACCGAGGCTCCCCCAGGAGGCTCACTGGGCAGGAGGGTTACCAGGTTACCAGGCCCACTTCTAGGCATCTTCTGGGGTGTCTGCACCAGCGCCCACAGCACCAGCAGTGTGCACATGTCTGGTTCCCGTCAGCCCAGCAGCAGTTTGTTTACATTTTCAACTTTTTTTTTTTTAACATTTATTTATTTATTTTTACATATTTTATTGATTTTTCCCCCCTCCCTCCCTCCCACACATCCCTACATTTTCAACTTTATTCTTGCTAGCTTAGTTAGTAAATCAAGGTTGTTTAGTATTTATTTGCATTACTTTAATTGTTAATGAGACTACATTTTCCCAAGTGTTACACATAAAAAACTAATCAGTCTTTAAAAACAAGTTAAAACCTTTTGTTTATCTTCAAAACTTCTGTGAGTGGTACTGACCAGGTCACGTAATAGCCTGCCTGTTGTCTCAGAACTGGGGAAAGCATTGACCTGCCTTGGGGTGGGGATGAGGGGTGATTTGGGGCCTGTCTCACAACAGCCCAGGGCAAAGTGAGGGCAGCGCCCATGGGAGATGGGCAACCGGGGACCCCAAACCAGCCTCCATGGACAAACCCAAAACTGGTTACTCCAACCAGTGCGCTTTGTGCCACACATTGGCCATGGCCTGTAGCCACAGGGATGCCAGCCACCCGGGGCCATGGAGGCTTAGTGTTGGTGGCAGCAGCAGCTCTGAGCTCAGCCCCTCCCCTCTCTTCCAGTGTCCCCAGCATGGTGCTGAAGGCTTTCTTTCCCACATGCTGCACCTCAGCGGACAGCGGCCTACTGGTTGGACGGTGGGTCCCCGAGCAGAACAGCGCTGTGGTCCTGGCCGTGGTGCACTTCCCCTTCATCCCCATCCAGGTCAAGGAGCTCTTGGCCCAGGTGCAGCAGGCCAGCCGAGTGGGCGTGGCTGTGCTGGGCACCTGGTGCCACCGTCGGCAGGAGCCCGAGGAGAGCCTGGGCCATTTCTTAGAGGGCCTGGGCGCCATCTTCTCCCACGAGCCCTGGCTCCAGCTGTGCCGGGAGAGGGGCAGCAAGCTCTGGAGCTGCAAGGTCACCCACCGGCAGGTGCCTACCTCCCCCGATGCCCCCGGCGAAGACCAAGTCATGCTCATCTTCTATGATCAGCGCAAGGTGCTGCTGTCCCAGCTGCACCCGCCCACAGCCCTGCCTGACCACCAGGCTGGGGATGCCACGGCCAGCACTCGGGGCCTGGCTGCCGTCTTCGACACAGTGGCACGAAGCGAGGCACTCTTCCGAAGTGACCGGTTTGATGAGGGCCTCGTGCGGCTGAGCCACTGGCAGTCGGAGGGTGTGGAGGCCAGCATTATTGTGGAGCTGGCCAAGCAGGCCTCGGGCCCCGTCTGCCTGCTGTTTGCCTACCTGCTGTCACTCATCTCCGCTGCCAGCGCCTGCCGGTAGGTACCCTGGGGCCAGGGTAGGAAGGAGTCAGACTCCTAAGTCCTAGGCCCACCCCCTCGGTGTGAAGGCCCAGACAGGGCTGTTTGGAGGCTCAGAGGTGTCCTCCCCACTTCAGCCTCCCCCTACTTCCTCTCTGGTATCTATCTCAGAGGGTGTCCTGGTGGTGGCTGCTGTTCTGGTGACCCGCACTCCTGAGGAAGAGCCAGGCTTCCTGGCAACCTTGGCGATTGTGAATGACCCACAGGGCAGGGATACTGGGTGAACCTCAGCTCCAGCCCTTGAGAGGGAGGTGAGACAGTGGACAGACTGGCTTGTTGCTGGCTGAGGGCTGCTGTTTGCCCTGCCTGGGAGTTGTTCGTCTTCCTAAACACATATAGGCCCGCCCACTTCCCCGTCCCTGGCACCAGCAGGGCAAACACCAGCTGTGGGTGGGGGGGTCCACTCACTGACAGTCATGGGTGTGGTGTGGCACTCTCCAGCCTTGGCCACTCTGGAATCGCCTGGAACACTCCTGGCTGCAGGCCAGGTCACGGGGTTTATAAAAGCCCTAAGTGCCCTGGGAATGGCTGGGGCAGCACCAGGGTGTTCTGGCTGGGCTGTAGGGGCCCCTCTCTCTGTGATAAGCCATCTCTCTGGTGAGGGAATCACCCTCTTCCCATAGGTCTAGGGGTTTCAGTTGTCTGGTTTGGGGACTGGCCTTGCCTGCTCATCAGGACAAGGGCCTGTTCTGGCAGAGACCTTGGCAGCTGTGTGTGGACACGCCTTAGATTGTGGAGGCTGCAGGGAATGGGTGGGTTTCAGAGCTTCATGATCCCCTTGGAATGAAGTATGTGAAAGTATGTCTGGGCCTAGCTACAATTTTGGGGAGAGAAGGTTCTTAGCTTTTATCAGCTTTCAAAGGACCCAAGAAAGGTTAATAAATCGTATTAACCTTTAATAACCAGACCCATCCTCGCTGACCCTTCATGACCAGGCCGCCCTCACCGTCCACTCCTGTTGGACCCCTCCTTCCAGGAAGGCCAACCCAAATTTGGATTAACCATCAGTCAGAGGCCGGTCAGGGACTGGTGGTGGTTATGAATGAGTCATGACCGTCACCGTGCAGTAGTGAGCCCCGTGTTTCCCCAGGACCAGCCCAGGGATTCTGTTGGGGCTAGGCTGTCCAGGGCCAGGCTGAACCTTGGGGAGACTGCTGTGCAGACAGTGCGAGGCCACCTTCCATTTGATTGGAGTCGGTGAGGAGGGGGCAGGAAATATGCTGAACTCGTTTCATTTCTTCTTTTATTTAAATTTTTAAAATCTATTTTTATTGATTTCAGAGAGGAAGAGAGAGATAGGTACATCAATGTTGAGAGAGAAACATTGTTCGGCTGCCTCTTGTATGCCCTCTATTGGGGATTGAGCCCACAACCCGAGCATGTGCCCTTGACAGCGCCCTCAGTCTGCAGGCCAACTCCCTATCCTGCTGAGCCAACCCAGCTAGGGCCATTTATTTCTTAATTTATTATTTTTTTCATTTCTTGGATTTGGTTCATAGCTCATCGGTTGGAGATGAAGCCTTTAAACTTTTCAGGGTGGACCTCTTCCTTCTGAAGAGTCCAAGACGGCTGGTAGGGGACTCTGTGTTTTGCACCAGCCCTTTCTCTTTTCCTTCCAGCAGGAAGTGGAAGAGGCTCTGGTCATGGCTGAGTTGCAATCCAGCGCTTTCTTCATCTTTGCTTGCAAGCATGTCCCTTCAATGTTTGAATGTCTGTGGAAGCACCTGTGCTTCGTTTGCCTGGAGAGAACTCAGTCTCATTGGGAGTCCACGTCAGCCCAGAGACCGTTGACGAGGATCACCCATCCAGCACAGCAAGGCGCTGGGTGACAATGAGTGCTTTCTCTCCACTACCGGGTGCATTTGGCCTGGAATCAGCTCTTTGTGAGGTCCTCGGGCACCCAGTTAATGGTTATGAATGTGCCATGAGCCCCACTGGGCTGCTTATCTGGGCCCTCCCACCTGTATTCCTGCCCTGCTGAGTTCGCAAGTGGGGCCATCGATGTTTGGTGCCACCAGGGACTTCGACTGAGCCTGGCTTCCTGTCTGCACAGTGAGGGGGATTGGTAACACTGAGGCAGCCCTTGCTCCCTGGCAGGCAGGAGAGCCCCAGGAGGAGCTGACGGCCCATCCCTCTCTGCTCCTTCCCAGGGTGTTCAAGCTGTGGCCACTGTCCTTCATCTGCAGCAAGCTCTCCACGTGCGAGCAGCTCAGGCACCGGCTGGAGCAGCTCACCTTCATCTTCAGCACCCAGAAGGCCGAGAATGCCTCGCAGCTGATGAGGTTCGGGGCCTTCCCTGGGTCTACTTGGCAGCGGCCAGATGTGCCATAGGCCAAGCCCCTGCCCCACCCCCTTCTCTGCACCAGACCCGTCCTCGCTCACTCTTCCTGACCAGGCCGCCCTCACCATCCACTCCTGTTGGACCTCTCCTTCCAGGAAGGCCAACATGCTTGTCTCCGTGCTCCTTGACGTGGCCCTAGGCCTCACGCTGTTGTCCTGGCTCCATGGGAAAGACCGCATTGGGCAGCTGGCTGATGCCCTTGTTCCCGTGGCTGATGTGAGTTTAATGGGGTGGAGCCAGGTCTGGACTCCAGTCCCCGTTTCCTGGGGTGGGAGAGAGTCCCTTCCTGGGGGCAGCAGAGGCCCCTCAACCAGCTAGAGCAGCTCCTCCCAACATTTTGTGGCCACAAGAGCAGTCCTTCTCACTGATCCCAGACCAGTTCCCTAGGAGCCATGGAGACTTGGATCTACCAGGTACCCACCTTCCCACTCAGTCAAATGGCAGCTCCTGGCTTCTAGCTTTTCTTCCTGAAGGTGGCCGTGTCTGGGAGGCCACCTTGTGGTCAAGGCTTTTAGGGGGACCCCACCTCCCTGGGCCTGGCTCAGTGTCATAGTGTTCCTGTTGCCGCTACCTGTGCATGACTTTCTGCTCTCCTGGCTGCCTTTTGGGTGGGGACCTCTGCACTGTCAGCATCACGAAAACCTGTGTGTTCAGGGCTGTCTGTGTGCGGTTGAGCTCTGGCCTCCCATCCATCAGTGATCACCTCGCTCCCAGCATTAGTTCTCCTGTTCCCATGCTGAGAGCCAGAGGTACCAGCTCATCTGCTATGCTCCTGGACTTGCCTTCACATCTGGGCAATGTTTCCAGGGCCTGGGTGCTACTTCCCTCCTCCCTGCCACGTCATCCTTCTAGGGTCCCCCTGCTGCATTCAGCTTCTCTGCCTGCCTTCCTCAGCGCCAAAGACCCTGTCACTTCTGTTGGGAGCTAGTCTTCCTGGTTTGGGCAATCTCTCTGGTCTCTTAAGCTACCCACCAGCCTCTTCAGGGCCTTCTGTGACTAAGGCCTGAGTGGGTGGCCCTTGTGGGCTCAGCCTCCTTTGGCCATTATCAGCGTCCAGCCATGGTTGCTTACTGGGCCTAATTGTGGCCAGACCGGATGCTGTGGGCAGGAGCCCTCACAGGCTGAGTGTCCGTGGCTTCTCAGAGTGGCCCAGCTTAGATGAAGGGGAAAGGAGGGGCTGAGGGCTGGGAAAGAGGCTTGGCTACTTTGCCTGCTCCTCTGTGCTCTGCCTGTGGCCAATTTCACCCTAGACCTCCTTTCTGTGAAACTGCTCAGAAATATAAATATTTAATTAAAAAATGAAAGCCTCTTCCTGCTGCCAAGCTCTTATCCTTTAAATATTAAATAAGCTCTATTTATAAAGAATGTTCTGTTCCCCTTCTCACTGCTCCTAATACAGCTGAGGCCTTCATACGGTGTTGGGAGAGGCCTGCAAGGCAGATGGGGTTGATGTAGGGATGGTGGTGGTGGCATACCTCTGACTGTGAGGTAGGGATGTCACTACTGTGGCCACAGCATTGGCTGAGTCCTCGGCCTGCCCACTGGGGCCGGCATGGCACACGGACATTGGCTTTCCTCCTGGGACAGCCAGGACACTTACTGGTCAGCTTCATTGCTTGCTGGTGAGGGTCTCTGTGTTGTCTCTAGCTCTCACTCAACATTGATCTTGACTATAAGTCCCCATCTCTCCTTCCCTTTAGGGGACCCTCTCGCCCTCCTACCTGCTACCTGAGCCCCTGATAGGCTGGACACCTTCTCCCTCACCTGAGGTCATCCACCCAGGGCAGGCCCAGGCCTCTGCTGTGGCTGGTGGTGCGTGGGTCCTTGGAGGAAGACTGGGTGGGCCCACAGGCTATCCCTACGAGGTTCACAGTGAGCCTAGGTCTGTCCCATATCCTAGAGCCTGGGCTAAGGGTTTCTGTGGGTTCAGTGGCCAGAGTGGTGAGATAGGGCAAGGATGCTTTATTCTGAAGGTGATTCCCATTAGGGGCTACCTGTCCAGTAGGCCAGGGACAGACTATTGGCATCATAGGTTGTACCTCTCAACCCCGAATCCCAGAATATCTGAAGAGGGGTTCCATGGCCAGGCAAGTGTGGGAAATCTCATGTGCCCATCATGATAGAAGATGGCTGTCCAGACGCCTAAAGAAGGGAGCCTGGGCTACCTCTGCCCTGCACAGAGGGGCTGGCCCGGTTTGGACAGCACGCCCCTGTGTCCTCACAGTGGGTGGCCGAGGAGCTGCAGCACCTGCTGCAGTGGCTGATGGGCGCACCCGCCGGGCTCAAGATGAACCGGGCACTGGACCAGGTGCTGGGCCGCTTCTTCCTGTACCATATCCACCTGTGGATCAGTGAGTGCTGGGGGTGGGTGGGGGCATGGGACTTCCCAGGGATCCCTGACTTGGCTCCTAAAGCCTGTGCCCTCAGGGACACAGGCCCTGGTTGAGCAGGGCAGTGGGGCCCAGGCCTGGCACCACTCCCTTGGCCCCTGCTGTTCTAGGCTGGCTACTCTACTGAGGGATGGCAGTGGCATAGTCTGTCACTCAGTTTCCAGAAGACTCAGGCACCATCCTCAGTGGGGGACCAGGACCTTGAGCACCCTCTCAGGGCTGACTCCCCTCGTGCCAGGCTACATCCACCTCATGTCCCCATTCATCGAGCGAATCCTGTGGCACATGGGCCTCTCAGCCTGCCTGGGCCTGACAGTTTCCCTGTCCATCCTGTCGGACATCATCGCCCTCCTCACCTTCCACATCTACTGCTTCTATGTCTATGGTGCCAGGTGGGTGTGTGCACCCCACCCCTGTAGGCTGGCCCAGTGCGGCCCTCCTTACCCTGGGCACCAGAGACAGGCCTTGGGGCTGGGTGGCTACAGGGGTGGTGCAGTAACCATGCCCAGTCCTGATGGCACCCATGTCCTGCAGGCTGTACTGCCTGAAGATCTGTGGCCTTTCCTCACTCTGGCGCCTGTTCCGAGGGAAGAAGTGGAATGTTCTGCGCCAGCGGGTGGACTCCTGCTCCTATGACCTGGACCAGGTATTGGGCAGGATGCTGGGGAGGGTGCACCCTGGCCTCAACTGGCCAGTGTGACCTCCCAGCTCCAGTCCACCAACCCCTGTAAATGAGCCTGGCCAGTGCAGCTGCTTGGGCACCATGAGGAGGCAGCCTGCTCCTGTCCAGCAGCTCACTTAACCACAGGGTTAGCATCAACCCCGGGGACCTGGGTAGTCTGCAAGATGCGTGGTCATGTAGGGCCCTCAGTGCAGAACCTTATCCCACGTGGGAGATGGACCCTGCTTCAAGAGGCTGCTGGCCCTAGGGAATCAGTGGTCAGCAGGCTCTCGAAGTGACTTGGCAGTGGGCCCTGGACATGACCCTAAGCATGGGACCCTGGAGGTGACCCAGGCAGTGGGTTCCTGGTTCTGGCTTATCCCATTAGCTTGCTCAGACCTAACACATGGAACCTGAGTGCTGCCTCCAGGGCATGTCTTTTTCTGCATGATTTTCACAACCTTTTGTCTTTGGTGTATGTGGCTGTGCACCTTACTGGCTGGTCCTCTCTCTGCCTCCATCTCCCATGGGTCACTGAGTCTGCAGGGCACACATTCATTCATCCCCAGAACTGGAGAGAGCTGTCATCAGCAAGCTTTCATGAGTTGTCTCAGGAAGCCAGTGTCCTACCAGCAGGCATCCCCTTTCTGCCAATTACAGGGTGGGCTTGGTGGGGAGGGAAGCAGGGGTGGGCTGTGCTATGGGGGCTGTCCCAGTGAGCTCCAGCTGATGGACCCTCTTCTCCTGGCAGCTGTTCATTGGGACTTTGCTCTTCACCATCCTGGTCTTCCTGCTGCCCACTACAGCCCTGTACTACCTGGTGTTCACCCTGGTGAGCTATGGGGGACTCTGGGCATGACACCTGGCCGAGGGGCCTTGCCCGCAGTGTTTAGAGTGGTTGCTGCCAGATGTGCCTGCCAGCCTGGCAGTTAAGGGCAGGCAATAGGCCATATGGGGTATGGCTGTTCTAAACTCTCTGGGCAGTGTGTGCTGGGCCTGGAGTGCATAGGGGTTCCACCCTGGGGGCCATTGCCCACCGCTCTGCGACACTTAGCCGGGTATAAGGAGGACAGGACCCACGGTGGGCGGGTCATAGTGGAGGTCTCCCCGTGCCTGACATGGGGTGGGGACTCAGATAAAGGAGAGGGGCAGCACCGAGGTGACCTGGGCCGAGGGACCAGTGATTTATTTCCCGGAATCAGAGCATCGACTCTTCTGACGTTGTGGGAGGGCCAACCTCTCCTGCCTTCTGCTCTCCTGCCTCCTGAGCTTGCGTTTCGGGTTTGAAACGGGATTAGTGCCCTCCTCAGAGTGGGATACATGCTCTCCCAAGGCTCCTGAGTCCCTGGTCACCCTTCTCTGGCCATGGTCCTGGCTCAGAGGCCCTGAGCACTGTCTGTGCTGCAGCTCCGGCTCCTGGTGGTCACTGTGCAGGGTCTGATTCATCTGCTTGTGGACCTTACCAACTCCCTGCCGCTGTATGCGCTCGGCCTGCGGCTCTGCCGGCCCTACAGACTCTCAGGTAGGTCTGTGCCGGGTGGGCAGACACACACCTGTGGGCCCTGCAGAAACACTAACTGCACCATGTGTGCCTCCTTCCTGGAAGCAGTGGTGTGCATGGGGAGGGGGGGGAGTGGGAAGGGAAGACAGAGACCCCTGGTCCCAGGCTGTGGGCTGGACCAGTTGCCTGCACTGAACTGGAGGTAGAGGGCCCAGCTGGTGCTCAGGTTTCAGAGGCCACAGGGATGATACTTCCTTTTTTTACCCTTTTCTGTGACAAGTGTGAACATCTGCCCTGAGGTCTGTCTCCAGTGGTGTAGGTAGTACCTGCATGTGGCTCAGAGAAGATGTGTACTTGTGTGGTTGTGTGGGGCTGTGTGTGCCTGCTGGTAACTCTCAGTTTTGGAGTCAGCATGCCAGTATGGAGGATGCTGGGCTGGCCAGATCTGTGTGACAAGATGCACTCCTACCTGAAACCCAGCAGACCATTATCTGCTGAGATGCCTCTCATCCCAGTTGCCCCCGGCCATCCTTGTGCAAGTGCCCGCCCATTTCTATGCTGATACTAACCACTGGGTTGGCCACATGCCCTGAAGGGGAGGCTATACCCCCAAGTTGGTCACAGGCTTATGGGTTAGTGTAGGGGCTTGAACACAGGGCACTTGGAGAGTTCTAGCACAGCCCCCGTCCAGCAGTTGTTCAGGTGGCCCCCGAGTTGACCATACCCAGGAGGCCATGACCCCAGGTTATAGCTTGGGACACCCAAGAGCTCATTGTGGCTGCCCCCAACCAGCTCAGAGCCAGACGATGTGAATATGAGTGTTCCACGGGTTTTGGACCTAAAGTCTGTCTGCTGGATGCCCTTAAACCCTCTTTACAAGGCTCTTTCCCTACAGAGGGCCAGGCCAGGGGCCATCTACTGTGCTGCCCAGGTTCACTCAGCCCCAGCCTACTCCTCAGAATGCCAGTGCAACACAAGCGGAGAGACCAAGACCTGGCACCCTCCTCCCCCCTCCCCTGGCTCACTGCCAGAGGAGAGTTGTTTTAACTTTACATTAAAGGCCCAGATGCCGCTGTTTCTTCTCTTCTTCCCTGAATTTGCCTTGGGCCTCTTCATCAAATAATAATTAGCTCCTATTTCTCGTTTCAAAAAACCTTTGGCCTGGGACTCCCCAGGCTTAGGTGTCCAAACTGCAGGCCAGAGGCGTGGTAGGTCCCAGTTGGCCACACACATAGAATTTGGAAGACATTTCGATGCCAGTGGGACGGCCGCCACCCAGCAAGTGCCCATTGGCTCTGTGGGAAAACCCACGTCTCATTTGGAAAACAGCACAGGCTGTGCTCCTCTGCTAGCCAGACACTCAGTTTTCTCCTCTCAGTGGATTTGTGCAGGAAGCCTTGATATTGGCCCAGCAACCCATCCAAAGAGGCATGTGGGGAGGACAGGCAGCACAGAAGAGCTCAGGCAGCCCTCTGAGTGCTGCCCAGAGGTTAAGGCCCTTCACCGCCAGAGCTCCCTGTCCACACCTTCCGCTGCTGACAGAGGAGGAGGACTGATGGGGGTTGTCTTCCGGGCCCTCGGAGCCCTGGAAGTCCACTCCCCTCCTCAGGAACACCTTGCTCTCCTTCTAGCCGGCGTGAAGTTTCAGGTCCTGGAGCATGAGGCTGGCAGGCCCCTCCGCCTCCTGATGCAGGTAAGGTCTCTGCATACCCCTAACACTGCTGTCTGTGGACAGATTCCTCTCCTTATCCCATGATGCTGCTCATGTTCCTGGGCAGCTGGGAGTAGGCCCCTCTTTGCTGCCCTGGGTTTAGAGCATCATGGGCCAGGGTAAGGTACAGGCAGGAGGCCCCAGCAGAGCTAAGGGGTACAGCCCAAAGGGAGACTTCCACACCCCCAAGGCCTCTGCACCGTGACCAGCCCTGCCTGGAACCTTCCCCAGTAGGGCCCGTGGACAAGATCTCCTGCACCATCAGGTGCATGTGGCTGTCCAGGGCTCCTGCCTACTTGGCTATGGGCCCCTGAATCCTACCCTGGGCTCCAAGAGCTCTTGTTTCAGGCAGAACAGCACCAATTTAGTGAAGGCATTGGGACACACATCTGTTCTCTGTTGAGCTCTTTTATCTGAAACAGTCCTGGGACCCTGGGCCTTCAGGAGGGAATGGGCTACTTGCCAGGTGACCCTCTCCCCCTCCCCCCAGATGATTCACTGGGTACCAGTATTGGGTCCAGGCAAGTGGGATTGGCCTAAGGATCACTGGAAGAGGTCAGATGCAGAGGCAACTGGTGCCCTGTGTGGTTTTCTCATGTGGAGTGTGTCCCTGAGAACGCTCTTAGGAGTTCCATGGGTCCTGGAGTGGAGGGGTCTGCACTCTGCCAGCCCAGCCCACTCTCCTCCCTGCGGCCTGGTCAGAACAGGTCATTCCCTCCCAAGCTGCTCATCCTACCGCATGGGCCACAGGCAAGAGCACAACTGCACAGAGCTGGCCCCAGGGATACCCCTCAGCCCCCTCTGAGGGCTTTTGAGGCCTAGAGATCTCAAGCCCCAGGGAGTTTGGGGATGACTGCTACCTTTGTGCTTTCAGATCAACCCCCTGCCCTACAATCGTGTGGTACACACCTACCGACTCCCCAGCTGTGGCTGCCACCCCAAACACTCCTGGGGTTCCTTGTGTCGCAAGCTGTTCTTCGGGGAGCTCATCTACCCCTGGAGGCAGAGAGGGGAGAAGCAGGACTGAGGTACCCTAGCCACCAGCCTGCCCAGCACCACTGCACGATATGGTCAGTCCTCAACCCCGCCAGGGTGGTGTTGACTGTCAGGTAGCATGTGGCCCTATACTCTACCTTCCCTGCCCCTACCGGGCCTTGCCTGTCACATATCCTCCCAACTGAGGCTGAATTTGAGGTCATAGGGGTGGCCAGCCTGGTCAGCTGGCCTGTGCTCCATATGACCTCTGTTTGCCTCAGGACCCACTTCCAATCTGTTGCAATGGCACTGTTAGCCCAATCCCCCCTCCCTAAGTCTACCAAGGAGCCCTACCCTCCTGACTCTGCTCAGACCCAGACCCTGTCCAGGAGGGATTTACAGAGCCCCACCTCTGCCCACCATATCTTTTCTCAGTGGGACGAGCTGACAGGTCTGGCTGCTCCATGGTGGTCCAGCTCTGGCATGGGTGGAGGGACTCCTCCCAGGTTGCACTCAACATTTCCTGAGACTTGGACCCCAAAGCATCTCCTTCCTTGGGGGTTTTTCTGCAGATGCACTCCTGGGTCCCTGACACCTCTCAGCTGCCTCAGTGGAGCAGTGGCCAGTATGGGTAATCCAAGCCATCACTGAACCCTGGCCCAAACCAGCAGCCTCACTGAGGCAGGACCCTCCAGGAAGTGGGATGGAGTACTCCCCATGCCTTAAATTGCACAGTATTACTTGTGATGCTCCCTGGGGAGACTGCTTTGCAGAAGGAGCCAACCACATGCCGTTGAGAATCCCTGTGTGAAGCCAGGCCATGTGGGGTGCTCAGAGCTGCCTTGCTAGAAGCTGAGTGCCCACCTACCCAGCTGCCCAGTTCCGGCCACATACCTGCCCTGTATGAATAGCCCCTTTGGCCAAATCTTCCATATCCCCTCACTGGCTTCTTGCAGAAGCAGGCAGCTCCTGGGCAGATGCTCTGTAGCCCCTGGGAGGGGTCCTGGGAGGGGTCCTGGCACTCAGGCTGCTTCTGCCTGCTGGCTGGCTGCAGAATCTGTGGGTGTGAGCCACAGAATCCCCAGGGTGAGGAAACCTGAAGATACGATGGCATCACATGTGTGCCATAGTCGGGGGGCGAGGGGGGTAGAAGTACTTCCTATTCATTGTGGGCACTCAGAACTGTCCACTTCTGCTGCCCACACTCCTTGGGTACAGATCACAGTGGGGGCCCATATGGAAGTCCTCACCAGCCCAACATGTGCTGGGTTAGATCCTGGCTCAGTCTTTCTCTGATGTGACATTAAAGATTCTTGTGTTTGAGTATGATGCTCTGCCTTCTCATGTCCTGTGTGCAGTGGGTCTGGGGGCTTTCTTCTCCTGGGGTGGCAGCTGGTTCCCATTATTTGTTCTGAGATGACTACCACACTGTTTTTGATGATGCCAAGATGGGGGCATTGGGGCACCCTGTCTCTTGGAGCAGGACTCTGCAGGTCTGGTGAGGGGGTGTATAGGCTCTGGCCCTTAAAGATGTCCTAGTGTGGGTGGGTGGACCCAGGACCACTTTCTTTTTGGTTTTAGCCTTGTCCTTGCATGGGGGTCTCCCACAGTAGGGGTCAGGCCATCCTGCTCGAGGGGTGAGCTGCTTTTGGCTCTGATGAATTTGTCATCACCTGAAACTTGAGGACCCTGCACAGGCCCTCCCTGACTGTCCTGCAGCCTCCAGGAGTCCTCAAGTGGCCTCTTCTGCATCTGTGTCTTGGCTGTATAGCGAAGGACCAGCCCAGAAAAGTCACTCAGCAACTCCCAGTCCTGCACTTCCACCCAGAGATCCCCATGGGTCCTGGTGGGCAGGGAGTGCACCCCCAGTGCCTACTAAGAATGGCCCCACAACTGCATTTCTGGAAGTTGCTGGATTCTTTGCCCACTCTCCCTGGCCAACCTGCTCATCCTTTGCCTACTTTTGTCCCTTTACTCCTCCTGTCAGGCTCCCATCAGGTGAGGGTCCTGCCATGTGGCCCAGACTACTACAAGATGGTAGCCACATCACAGGTCAGCCTGGCAGCTGTCACCCTCTGTGGCAGGTACTAGGCTACCTGCCCATTTCCTGAGTGACAGCTCTGGTGTCAGGCCTGGTTCTTGCTAGATGTACACAAAGAGATACATCGATGGGACTTGAGTGGGGTCTCTCCTTGGCATCAAACCTGGGCCAGGGTTTCTAGAGCAGTCAAAGCTTTGTGCATGCTCCCAGAAAGCCTGGGTACAGAGCTTCAGGACCAAGATCTATTTGCCCCATTGGTTAAACCCTAGATATTTCTCAGAGGGGAGGGCTTGGACTATAGCCAGAGGAATGTGGGTTTCTTCCCCCTTTACCCCCCTTCCTCCTTCCCCTCTTTCTACCCTTTTCCCTTCCCCTCCCCCTCCCCCTCCCCCTCTTTCCCCACCCTCCTTACCTGGACAGAGGCCCCACCCTCCTTACCTGGACAGAGGCTGGGTCTGGAGGCCTAGGTCCATCCTGCCAGAGCCAACAGGTGTGGGAACCATAGGGGAGACAGTTTCTGGGCCTTCTCAACGCAGTGCCTGATCTAGGACCTGCAAAAAAGTTTCTGTAAACTGTGTGGGGGTGGATGTGCCTTTTTCATAAACATGGGAGGAGGCTGTCTGCTGTAATCCAGGGACAGCCATTTCGTCCTTGGCCTGAGGTCCCTCAATGGGATGCTGTCCTGTCCCTTCCTCAGTCCCCTAGGCTAGGCCTGGCACTCAGTGGGCCCCAGATGTCCTTGCACAAAAGTATGCTGCTGAGGGGGAAGCCAGCTACTCTGTCCAGAAGGCCTCCTGGACACCAGGTAGTGGGACCTCTCTGGCAATCCTTCCTCAACTGGGCCCTGCTGCCCCACACCCGTGGGTACCTTTTTGCTCTGAGGCCAGGGGTTCTGAGGTGCAAGATCTCAGCAAAGGACCTGAAGCCCCTGACAGGAGGCTGTGTAGGCCTGCTTCCAGAATCACCCTGTGGAGAGGCTCCAACCTACAAAGCAGGAATGGCTGCACCTACTCCACAGGCCTTGCTGGGGAAGGTCGTCAGAAAATGTGCATGCTGCTGAAACCGGTTTGGCTCAGTGGAAGAGCGTCAGTCTGCAGACTGAAAGGTCCCAGGTTCGATTCCTGTCAAGGGCATGTACATTGGTTGCGGGCACATCCCCAGTAAGGGGTGTGTAGGAGGCAGCTGGTCGATGATTCTCTCTCATTGATGTTTCTAACTGTCTACCCCTCTCCCGTCCTCTCTGTAAAAAATCAATAAAATATTAAAAAAGAAAAAAAAAAAGAAAATGTGCATGCTGAGCCCACTTCCTCATTTTTTCCTGGTGATGGAGAACCAGGCAGCAGCTGCTGGAGCCCCTTCAGGGGAGTTCCTGAGAGGTAAGAAAGGCGCTTTTGACTTAAATTCTCTGGAAAGATAATAGCTTCTCATCTACAGAGCATCCAGTCTCTGGAGAGGGGACTGGGTGACTTCAGAGCAGGGAGTGGGCAGAGCAAGGCGGAGGCAGGCTCAAGGCTGGGCACAGTGATTCCTGGCCTGTTGACCCCCAAGGGCCCTCCCAGTCCTGCCAGGTGGAGGTCAAGGGTGAACAAGCACTAGCTGCTGGGTTCCCCTGTGCTGCAACAGTCAGTGCTCAATCCCTGGCCTCTCTGGCGACTCAGTCCCCCACCTCTGACCAGCTCAGGGCCAATAAGACTGCCTGCTGGCTGTTTCTGTAAACTGTGTAGGGGTGGATGTGCCTTTTTCATAAACATGGGAGGCTGTCTGCTGTAATCCAGGGACAGCCATTTCTGGGGAGGGGACATGGCCTGAAGAAGCGCACAAGCAGGACCATCAGGGTTCCTAGTGGCCCTGCCCATCCCTGGCTAGCCTCTACCATCAAGTGTCCCAGCACCCTGCTTCCCCAGAGAGCCAGGAGGACACCTGGAGAGCCTCACTGAAGGCAAGTGAGGAAGGCCCAGGCACTCGTCAGGCACGCACCAGAGGGACCTGCTCCTCGGGAAGCCCCCAGGCACCAGCCACATGGCTCACAGTCCAGGAAAGGCTGTGCAGCTTTGGGTGGGGGTCACTCAGTGTGGTGCTGCCCGTGAAAGGGTTTGCTCTCTGAAGTCCACCTGCTATTGAAGGCATGGCGTGGGTGCAGTGACCCCTTGGGAGGAAAGTTCTTACTGCCCATTCCTCGCCTGCTGGAGGACATGCTAGCCAGGCTGCCGATGTGCAGCACATCGGGGCCTGGTTGCTGTGTTGCTCCCTCTGCACAGTTCTGCTTCTTAGGAAGCTCTAACTCTCCTGTGGCTTCTTCCTAGCTGACACCACTCTGCCTGATTTGGCTCCGTTTGGACAACTTTTATTATTTTTTTAAACATGTATTAGGGATATTTTACATATAAAGTTCACCCATTTTGAGTACACAATTGAATTATTTGTAGTAACTTTATAAAGTAGTACAACTATCACCAATTTTATTATTTTTAATGTTTTATTGGTTTCAGAGAAGAAGGAAGAGAGAGAAATAGTAACATCTACGATGAGAGAGAATCCTCAATCAGTTGCCTCCTGCACACCCCTTACTGGGGATCTAGCCGGAAACCTGGGCATGGGCATGTGTTGTGACTGGGAATCAGATCGTGACCTGTTTCATAGGTCGATGCTCTACCACCGAGCCACTCTGCTGGGCCAACTACCACCAATTTTAGGGCATTTTTATCACCCCAGAAAGGAATCCATACCCCTTAAGCAATCGTTCCCCATGTCTCCCTACCTCAGGCTCTGGCAACCACTAATCTCCTTTGTCTATGAATTTGCCTATTCTGAAAGTTTCATATAAATGGGATGTAGCATTTAGCAATACTTTATTCCTTTTTATAAACGAATATCAACATTGTGGATAATATCACATGTTGTTTATCCATTGATCTGTTAATGGATGTTTTGGTTGTTTCCACCTTTTGATGATTATGAATAATGTGCTGCTGTGAACATTCATATACAAATTTCTGTGGACATGTTTTCATTTCTCTAGAAGTGGAATTGCTATATTGTAATTTATGCTTAACTTTTTGAGTTACTTATAAAGTACATGTCATGGTCTCATAAAGTGGTCATCATTTGTAGGCTGGGAGCCTGTGGCGTGACTCAAAAGGTTGTGGGTTGGTTCCCCAATTAGGGCACATATGGAGACCAATTGATATTTCTCTGTCAGATTGATGTTTCTCTCTCCTTTCCTCTCTCTCTAAAAATAAATAAAGACATTATCCAGCCCTAGCTGACTTGGCTCAGTGGCTAGAGTGTTGACCTGCAGACTGAAGGGTCCAGGTTAAGGGTATGTACCTCGGTTGCAGGCTCAATCCCTGACCCTGGTGGGAGCACGTAGTGGGAGGCAACCAATCAATGTATCGCTCACATGGATGTTTCTCTCTGTCTTTCCCTCTCCCTTCCTTTTTTAAAAACCAATGGAAAAATATCCTCAGGTGAGGATTAACCAAACACACACACACACACACACACACACACACACACACAAATATATCATCTGGTGAGGATTTTAAAAGTGTCATAAATGAAGAGAAAGTTACCCCAGAGAAAACAATGCTGTCCCTTTGTTGAGTATCCTTCCAGACCTAATCTTACACAAGCATTCCATTTATCTAGAGTGAAAACTATGTTAAGTTTTATTAAGCACAAATATTGAAATTACACTGGGTATACTGTAGTCATTTGCTTTCTTCTCTTCTGCACCTTATGTTGCTCACCTGGTTAATCTAACAGTTCCCTAACAGTTTCCTGACTTGCATCATCACTTCAATACTGCAGTAAAATTCTTTGGGCTCCTTTCCGAGGTTTTCTCCATGCTAAATCAGATA